GATCTATGGCATTGGGAACCTTTGAACTGTTATGACTGAAAATCATACTTCAAGATTTGAAGGTTGAATGAAAATATCCTATGAGATTCTATTGTGACAGCAAGTGAACAATTAGTATTATACATAATCCCATATAACATGACGGAACAAAACATTTTGAAGTGGATAGACTTAACAAAACATTTTGAAGTGGATAGACATTTTATAAAGGAGAACCTAGGTAATGGTTTGATGTATTTTATTTGTCCTTACCAATGTTCTAATGTCATGCAAGCTTGTAATGAAGAATATCCATTCATTCACTTGAGGGGGAGTGAAAAAATCAATCTCTATCAAATTCTCCTCCATTAATTTCGAGTCCATCAAAGTTCCACCAAGCTTAGCAATCCTCCATCGTGCGTATTCACTTCATACCACCTCAACGATCTGTGTGCTTATTAGTGCCATTTCATCAAATTGTGGAATGTAGTAGTTATTTCATAATATTTATTCTGCCATCTCATCAATCTGTGGAATGTCGTAGTTTTTTTAATTAATTTTCCTAATTTTATATGCTTATTAGAAGATTTCTTAGGATTGCATAAACGCTTTACAAATGTTACAATAAAACACAACCAATTCTATCCAATTGTTGTCGGTGATGATAATTCAAACTGACAATTACGAAGAAGAAGAAATCCTAGTGGAGAGATCGTTGAGGTGGAGGTCACTCATGAGATTTAGGTAGATGAAGGTGACCGCACCGTGACTGTATCAAAGATGAAGAATATGAGTTCAAAGCTATGATCCAAACCCTAGCAATAGATCGCTGTAAGGACAACTGATGAGGACATCGACAGACGCTTCCGACATGTTTATCACCAACGAAACTGTAGATCGACGGCCACGATTCAGCGCCTCTACTTTTGATTCAGATGTCATGATGTATTTTCATTTTATTTTATTTCATTTGCAGTCTTTCCATTTTTACCCCTGTGGGGAGTTACTTTGTTATTGTAGCCCAGAGGGCAATTTCGTACTTTCTCTTTTTATGAGTTGAGACCTATATATAGTGGTCTCATGTGTTGTATTGAGGTTAATGAATATTTTGAATGAAATTTATTTTGGTTATCTTTTTGTTCTTCTTCTTGTGGAGAGCTAGAGAGGAAAACAAGAGCTCAATGTGAGGGCGAAAAGCAATACCCGCCAGTCATTGGAAGAGTCCGTGACTCGTGGTCTATCCCTATCATCCGATCCCTTTCCTTCTCCCCAACCCGCCGGCCCTAGGCCCCTCTTAGCCGCCGGCCACCCCACCTTCCACCATCCGTCGGTAAGCCTCAACCGTCGGCCTCATCCCCCATTCCCCACGAATTCCAATTTTGAAAATTCAAAATTTGAATTTCAAAAACTTTACAATTTTGGAATTTCCAAATTAGTAAAGTTTTAAATCCGTTTTCGTGATGAAATTCAAATTCAAACGGATTTCATCCTAATTCTTTTTAAAACCTCCTGTGCTAATTTGGAAGCTAATCAATTGCTCCCACACCAATTTCCCCCCTCTTGAAGCCGCCGGCCTCACCCTAGGTGAAGCCCCATTCCATGCACCAATTAATGCATTGATTACCCACTAATTTGAAATCAATTTCAAATTAATTCCCCCCATATTTTCATTCAAAACATGAAGTTTAAATTCAGGTTTTGAAATCACTCTCCCTCTCTCTCTAGAGCCCGCCGACCTCTCGTTTAATGGGCCACACTAATGCCCATTAATTGCCCCTTAATTCTATTGATGATTTGAAATCAATTTCAAATTTGCTCCCTCCAAATTACTCAAATTCTGAAGTTAATTTCAGATTTGTGTAACTCTCCTCTTCCCCTCTCCTAACACAAATTTCCTCATCTAATCCACCCGCCCCCTTCCTTCTCTACTTTGGCCGACCCTCTCCCCACTCCCTCCCTTGGGAATTTGAAGCAAGAGAAGAAGAAGACGACGCCCTTCAACCCTCACTTCAATGTTGAATGGCGGATCCCGAACTTGAGTGGGGTCTTGTATTCAACGCCGACGGAAGCATCAACATCCTAAGATCTCCGTGCTTTGACGTGGGATTTGAAGACGAAACCACCGTTGAAGAATATTTGGAGCAAGTCGTCCCGATTCTTGCAAGCATCATCGACCGACGATTTTCTAGCTACGATTGGAGCCTCGCCGGCCACCCACTACATCCATCTCCACCGGCTACCTCTCCACCAACAAAGTTCTTCGGCGCCATCTTTGTAGTGGTAATATCTTTCATTATTTGGCTCACCTTTCTCCGCTAAAGCCTACAAGTAGTTGAGTGAGAAGGCCTTGAGGTGAACCTCTCATTGTTAAGTGTTGGATCATGTTACTTGTACTTTGCATTTAATATTACCTTGGGTTTTTTGAAAGGATAGTCTTGTTTATTCTCTATTGCTAATATTTGGCCTAAGCAAGTTAAAATTTTCAAATTCTTAACTCTCTCTTGCATGATTGAAATAAATTTATAAGGGCAAAACTTTAAAACAATTTTCTTTCTCATTTTTAAACGTAACTCCTAGTAGTTTCACATCAACAACTCTTAGTATCATCGGCAATGACGACAAATCATATGGGCAAGGAATGAAGACGTCAAAGGGGAGAAAAGGAGATTGCAGAGAGTGGAGAAGATGAGATCGTAATGAAGGAATGCAAAAGGTCATAGGAAGGCTCTCCACATTTAGATTAACTTGGCTTATTCCCTTGGCGGAGAAAAGTCACGTAGCTTAAACGAGCTCAGAAATTTGCTAAAAAATGTGTTTGGGTAGCATTTTGAGCTTAAGCTAACTAAAGCCGGTGAATTAGCTGCTAACAAGCGATCTCTGTTAGTTTGCGCAAAGTCTAGGCGACTTCAAACATTAGTAGAGACACATAAGAGTGTGAAAATCCATCAATCATCTGTATCTTCCAGTTGTGGGTTTCTTTACAAGTTACCAGTTATATATTTCTTGGTCATGAAATTCAGGAAAATGAGTGCAAGAAAAAGTAAGTGAAAGGAAGGTAAACACTAGAAATGCATGCTCTGCTTGGTTTTTCTTGATTCTGAATAAATTTTGGGAGAATCATTTCAATATAGGTTCTATGAATATATATTTTTAGATGTTTGAGGTAGTCTAAATGAAATTCTGTAAGAAAGGAGATTAGCCGGTGTGAATGATGGTATTGATTTCCTTAGGGATGATGATAGGTGGTCACCACTAAGGGAGGGGATGTTGAGTAGTCTGAAAGTTTTATCAATATTCTTTGTTTAAGTATTCCTATCGGTTGTCTGTTGATTTAAATTATACTGTTTGAATGAAACAGGATATTATATTTTAAATTTAATTTATGATTTTTTTCTAAAATCAGCGGAATTTTGTGAACATTTGTGAGGTTTCATGTGCACTTCAAGTGTTTTACTTAACAAAAAATACTGGTCTTTATCAATTTTAGATATCAGTACAAATTAAAACAATGAACCATTAGAAAGATTAATATGGTTCATAAAATTCAAATAATGTAAACGAAAGAGGCAAAGAATTTTACAAATTCACAATAAGCACTATGGAATTTATGATGCTTGAACAGAGAAACTGTGAATTTCAGCTAGAAATAATCACCGTTTAAAATTGTGCAATCAGATGCGTGCCTCCAAGTCGAGGCTTGGAGAAAAGCCTTTGAGGAACGTGCCTCACATTGAATAATTGAAACGTACATTTCAGTTGAGTGAGGCAGATTTCAAGGTTTTTTTTTTTATGAGATTTAAGCCACAATTTGATTTGTATTGGTGTTCAACTTTTAAAATTTATAACCCAATGTCAGGTAGGAGATGAGAACATAGGATGAAATCACTTGGCCTTGAATTACAAAGGTTTACAATCGAAGTATTGGCTCTTATGTGCTCATCATTAGGGTTTTTTCATCAAAATTAGAGTACTTATAACCAAGTTTATTCCAAGATAAGAAATCGGTTAACTGCTTCAAGGATGACTCACTGCTTTACATAATGTATACTAAGAGATTAAAAGATAGACATTTGAGCCAGAATGTTTTGGAGAATGATGAAGATCCCTTAGTAATGATGTGTCTTCGAATGATGAATCATTTGCAAAGGATGAAAATGATGCTACATCATCACAATTACAAGAGGAAAATCTCAATGTTGACTTTTTTGATGAAGGAACAAGACCGGCACAATCCGATAAGAAAGGTACAAAACATGTTAATGTAAACTTTCATGTAATAGATATTAGAATCATCATCATCATCATTATTTTAAATAATATTCTTTTTGGATTATTTATTTTGGAAGATAAAGATGGTTGGGATTGAAGATGATGAGGAATACCGGGAGGATGTTGATATAACTTAGTATGTGGCATGAAAGGAAGAAATTAAATACAATGATGATTGAATATCTTCTAAGTGATGGGAGTGAGAGAGGCTTTTGAATTCAAATCTTATGATTTTAGTCTTCTTGTTTATACTGAATTGGGAGTGGGAGGTACTTGTTTATTTTAGATTTTTTATTTTTTAACTAATTTATCTTAGACTTAATGCTTTTTATTTAGTACTTATATGATTTTTTATGGTCTTACATTGCTTTTTTGTGATTTTACTTTGATGTTAACATTTTATTTATTATTTTATAGTTGTTTTAATTTAATGATTTCATTTTTAGGCTTATGCCTCAAAAACTCTTTTTAAGGTTTATGTTTGCGCCCCACGAAAATAAAATGCCTCAATATCCAATTGTATAATTTCAAACTATAAAAGTAAGTGAGATGAATAAACTAAGAAAACATGGCTTCACTCGATTAACAAGGGCTCGGAAGTATGTCACCAGGTTCATCAAACTTTTGTGTTCTTTAGCCTTTATGCACTTTGTTAGTCCACCAAAAAAATGCTCTGTAGAATTTAATGCCTTTTTACAATTTTTCTTATAAGAAATCAGATTCATATTATAAATGCAATATTTTCTTTTCAGGATCCATGTACCATGGTTCCCCTTTACTGTTGATCATTCTTGGGCCCTTAACAGTTAAAAGGTAGGAGATTTTGGTTGCAGGCATTTCTTTGGTTTATTGCAACAGTCTTATCTTCACTCATTTATTCTGAACTATAAAAAAAAAAATCACCATTCTTTTATAAATATGTATATGCCACAGATATATTATCTATCCATAGTGTGACTTAGGTTATTTCATTTTTTATGGATGCAGAATTGAAAGTCAACCGGCTCATTTATGCTGCAGGTAATCTGGTATTTGGACATTGTGATTGTTTTCTTGTTTTATATGTTTTCATACTTCTACCTCTCCTAATATTTAACGCCATAAATGTGAAGCATGGCCTAGGAAGCTACCTGAATATGGGTGTAGCATTTATCTTGTTAAACTGAATTTGACACAAGCAGCAACCTTTAGTACCAATGAATGTTGAAGCCCAAAACGCAATATTCTGTAGTGAGCAATGGATTATTAATGACTTGTTGTGGTTGTTCCTGCCATTAAACTGATGGTCTTATTTTTTAACTCAAAATTATTTTATTAATAAATAATTTGTGTCTTCATCATTTACTCTTTCCAAATACTTAATTTGAACCATGTTTTTGAAATTGATAAGAAAATTAATGTTAAGCATCCATACATTAAGTGATGTGAAACAATCATGCGATGAATTGCGAATTGCACTTAGGAAAATAATAGAAGTATTGAGTCAAAACTTGCTACCAAAACTCTTTACTTAGTCAAGTTGAATTCAAGAATTAGATGACGATAAATTAAGTAATGACAAGAAATCACATTTAGAGATTAGAAGACTTTCAAAATAACATCAATAATTCAAGTAGTGCAAATGGCTAAGAATAACAAAGCCCCAAATTTAAAATTTAAATCCTTCACCTTAAGATCCGTCACTCATATTTATAGTGGTGGCTAGGGGAAGAGAACCGTAAGTAGACTTAGCGACGCTACTAATAGGCAAGTGATCTTGAGAGGACTTGTCGCCGGGAAGGGAGCCGGATTCGGAGGAGTGGGTGGACGGCCTTCAATGATCCACGTGTAGACGGAGAAGTGGTCGTCGATGGACTCCGCTAGTGTTGGTAGAATCCGATCCAAGTATTCCTCGACGGTGTCGTCAAAGTCGAAGCCGACGTCGAAGAATGGTGATCGTAGAATATTAACCCTTCCGTGGTTGTCGTACTCAAACCCGAAGTTCCATTCGGGTTCCTCCATGCATTCTTGAAGACGAGAGTGAGTGGTCGCCGCAAGACGTTCTCAAGTGCAAGGGAGAAGTGGCTCAGGAGTTCGGGGAGAAGCGATCAAAGCTTTGGCGGGCTAGGGGAATTCGGCCAAGGTGGAGATCCAAATAATGGTGCAGGAATTTCTGCAGTAAATGCAATTTTGGAGGGCTTAATGAGGTGGATTTAATTTGAAATTCACATTAAACCCAGGAGGAATAAGGGGCGGTGAGAGGGGAAGAGATTTGGGCTGATTTTGTGGTGTTATTATTGTCAAATTGGAAGGGGAGAAGAGCCCATCAATGGGCCGGCCACATGGAGGGGAGAGAAGGCTTAAGTATTTAATCAAATGGGGCCCACATAATTAAGTAACAGATTTTTAATTAAAACATGTAGTAAAAATCAGATTTCAATAAAAGGAAAGTTTCCTTTCATGGATGTACGTAATAAGCAATCTTTTGAAATTCAAATTGAAATCAAAGGCTAGTGCTTATTTGCTTAATTATGGCTGATTGAATGAGCAAATTAATCAAGCATTGAATGCTTGATTTTCACGGATTGGGCAACACAGGGAGAAACGACAGTAACGGGGTGCAGGGAAAATCGGTGAGCTGAGGACAAGAGGGCTCACGGTTTGGGCTGTGCTGGGGTTGAGGAATGGTGGAGGAGAGGGGAGAGGGCTGCACGGGAGAGACTGGACTCGTGGCCAATGCCCGGAGGGAGGTTGACCGGCGGGATGCTGGCCGGCGGGAGGGTGCAGCCCAAGTGGCCGGCGGCTCTGAGCAGGGCAATGTTAGGCGACGTCAAATGCAAGGGAAAAGAAATCAGGCGAGCTTTCTTTGGGGATCCCACGTGACTTCCACTCTCCACAAACTCTTCAATCCAAATCCCCACGGCGACGACGTAATCATGAGAAATGTCGGAAATAAGTAGAGCAAGGAAACCTAGAACTCACAAAGAGATCTAGCGTCTCCGACGATCTCACTAAGAAATCGAGGAGGTTTGCACTCACAAAGAGAACAGGAAGTGTAGAAATTTTCATTTATCCAAAACTATCTTAATCCAATACGTGATGCCTCATATAAGGAGGTCCAAAAGAAGTAAAACTGAAAAGACAGAAATGCCCTCTGGGCTACATAAGCAAAACAATGCCCTCAGGGGCAAACTCGGAAAACTAAAAGTACATATGAAATAAGCTGTAAATAAATCAGAAATAGAGGCTCTGGATCATAGCCGTCGATCTGCGTCGCCGGCGATGATACACGTGTCGAAATCTGATGTCCCCATCATTAAGCTTTCACAGTAAGTAATGATGCAATTATCAAAATCTATAATCATCCAAAATGCAAATTATTTGTGTGAAAATGAACGATTTGATAGTTGAAATTTTAATTTATTCTTCAGTTGTTTTGGTTTATTTATCATTTTGTATTTATTAGTAATCTGTATATCTATGCATAGGATGCTATCCATCATGAAAGGTTTGATTTGTTTCTAAATTCCCTAAAGGAAACTAGAATGGCTCTCTGCTATTGGTGCTGCCATCCTTTTTCTATAGCTTATATTTGTTGGTCCTCAGTTGCAAATTGCAATTCTTTGTGATTGAGATGGTCTCCTCGTAAAACTTTCATTAATGACCTTCTCATGAGATTCTTTGTTCTTGGGGTTCTCTGAATATGTTCTGTGGCTTCTATTCAGCGGCCACCTATTGCAACTTTATATTGTTGTTTTTTGTGGCATTCTTTTCTATTATCTGACTCTGGCAGCTCCAGCGAAGTCTTCAGTGAATATTTAATTGTCTTTTGTAGCTCTTTTTTTGGCTTTCTTTTTCAAACGGTTGATTAAGGAAAATTCCATAATGGGCTTTGTGATTTTAAATAGGAGGTTAAGACGCGTACCAAAACAAGATTAGTACTTAAATAAATTTTTTAGCTAGATGTGTTATTCCTAATAACAATACATGTGATAGTGCTACAGCTCAACTCATCTAGGCCATCAGCTGATAACAAACAAGATCATCAAAGCCATACATGTGTAAAGGGTAAAACCCATAACGCACACCATACAAGCTACAACTCTATATATGTATACCCTCCGTGTAAAGCACACACACTATTTTTAATACAATGAACACTTTACTGCTTCCTTGTTTTTTCCCGTTTCTAGAATAGGAAAGCTGCTCAACAACTTTTACATGGTATCAGAGCTTTGATACCTGGTGGTAGAAGACTATGGAGCAATCCAAAACCTCCCAGATAGAATCATTCGCTATTCCTCAGATCTCCTCTTCCCTAAAATTCGTTATATCCAATATCAAGATCATCGACCCCACCCTTCTCTCCAACCACACATATCCCACTTGGAGGTCACAAATCCTAAAACTCTTACAGCGTCGATTCTACCATACATCCATAATCTTCGCACCTGCAACGAGATCTAGACAACCTTGGAAAGCCGGCATATCACGAGTGATACAACTCAAAAATGAGTTGCACAACGTGTTCATGAAAAGCTCAGACATGAGCCAATATCTCACCGAAATTAAGACCCTAGTGGATAACATCTCCTTGGCAGGATCAACAGTAGATCAGGAGGACGTTATTCTCTACACCCTCAATGGATTGCCACCTCAATATCAATCCTTCAAGACTACCATTTGAACATATCCTCTTCCACTAAGTCTTGACAACTTCTACTCTTTGCTTATGAGCAAGGAGATCAACCTACTGACCAATTCTACCAAACATCAGTTGAGCATCAACCCCGCATACGCCTTATACAATCATCGCGGATGCAATCCACGAGGACGTGGATGTTCTCCACACTAACTCCTCACGAACCCCACTGCTGAACGCTTCGGCGGTCCCTCCCCTCATCTGCCAAATTTGTAATAAGCGCGGCCACTCAGCATTCAAATGTTGGCATCGTATGAACGCCAACTACATTCCTCAACCAGCCTCTTCACTAGCTCAGGCTACAGCTTCAACAGCCCTAGTCGCCTCATCATCTCTTCCCAACGACTGAATACTGGATACCGGAGCTACATCTCATCTAACATTGAGAACATTCAGCAGCCATCTGATTACTTCGGTTTTGAGCAAGTCACAATTGGCAACGGCTTGAGCACACGCATCACCCAAACCGGTCAAGGTTTCCTGCCACTTCCCAGTGGTAAACTTCTCCTATCTCAAATTCTTCGTACACCACAAATATCTCACAATTTAATTTCCATTCATAATCTCACTCAAGATAACAACATTTCCCTTCACTTTGATGCATCTGGCTATAAAATATTCGATCAGTTCCACCACTGCATCCATCAGGGCCCAGTTGCTAACGGTCTATACTCGCTGACGCTCTTACCTTCATCCGATCCTAAAGCCTTCAACACCTCTCTCTCATAAAATTAGTAGTGCGCTTGTGAGTTATTAGTAGTATTTATCAAGGCATTAAGTAAATTATTTGTCTTTATTTCTTTTAAAGGTATATGATTTTAAGTTGTTGCACTATTGGTTTAATGTGACTATATTATGAGGATCTAGCCTTTCATTCAACTAAGGAAGAATTCTTGTTCTTGTTTAGGGGTTGTTTGGTTGGTTGAAAAAGGAATGCAGTGTAAAAGTATGCAGTGTATTTGAAATAATTTGTAGTTGTTTGGATGAATATAAAATAAATGCAGAGAATTATTATTATTATTTTGGTTTGAAGTAAAATAAATACAGTGTAAAACATGACCAGTGGTTATGGGCTGTAGTGGCGGCGACAGGCAATGAAGTTCCTGTGTATTTGAAAATTGTTAAAATTTAAGTAATTTCAAATATACAAAAAATAAACTAGTGGGTGAATTTCAAATACACCAAAATTTTACACTGCATTTGATTTACTTCAAACCAAATATTAATATTCTCAGAACCTCTGCATTTGAAATACTTTACACCACTTTTACTTCAAACCAAATAGCCCCTTAAAAACTTCTGATTAGTACACAAAAGAGAACAAAAAGGAGGAAAATGATGGAGGACATGTCTAGGTGTTGCTGGAAAGAATACTTCATTATATTCTGTCATTGTTCAGTTAAAAGGTTAATGTAAGGTGCAATAACATTATGCTATAAGGATTATTTGCATCTTATTCTTTCTATCAGAAGTTGCAGCTAACTATCTATGACTTTCTGTTGATTTCCTAGATTTTTCTGAGACGAATGCTTCAATGCATATTGTGAGTGTTTTTTAAGAAAAGCATGATGTAAAAGATTATGCTGAAGCTGATGCGATCTATTCCAAATGGAAATACATTCACACATGAAATATGTTGGCACGGATTTTACTATTCCATCTTGTCTGTTGTTGAAGCTTTTTAATCAATTGATAAATTTTCACATCCTAGCACACAACCTGATATTTGTGATTCTATGGAATATACTGTCATGCTTATCCATGCAAAGACAGCTTGATTTTTGTGCTTGTAGATTTCTTTACTGCCATGCTTATTCGTGCAATTGGGGAGAAGCTAATGCTGACAAACTGCAACAACTTGAAGTTGCTAAAACCTTCTAAGCTAGTTGAGAGTTTTGGTAAGTTACATTTTAATTTCAGGCAAGATTGCTGTAATTCTGTTATTTTTTCAACAACTAACTTGGTAAATAAAATTTGGAACTCCTGGGCTTTATATGACCATAAGAACTTTAACGCTATTGTGTTTGAATTGGAATACGGCAGTTTGGGTGCATTTTTGAAGCTATAAGTTCCTTTTTTTACTCAGTGAAGGCCAGTGTTGTTTATTGGAGTAGAACTGCATATTGGATATATGATAATACAAAAATAACTGCTTTGAAAACCTAAAAGAAACTTGCTGCCTTAACAATTCTTCTTCCAAATGGGAGATGTTGAAGCTGCGCTTTGTTATTGAGAAAGAATATTAGCTTGTTTATTGCTGTAAAAGTTTACATAAGAAAGTTTTGAATAGGGGTTGATACTCGCCATATTTTTTGATTTAGAGCAACTGGTGTTGATTATTCAAAATTTTTATTTTTAACGTCTATGGCAGATTCCGTGACTGTCAACTAACATATTAGGCAGCATGATAAGTTGATAACATACCTTGCCAACATTTGATAGGGTAATGCAATGTAACATTTACTGGTGAATAAAAGATTTAATTACAAAGTTAATCCTATAAGGTCCACATTGATTAGCTGTTTGCAGTTAGTAATTATTGACTCAATTTTTGCATTGAGTTGACCCGGTTTTATAAAAAAAATCAAAATTTAACTCAATTTAGGCTTGTGACGATTCAATATAATTAAATTTGCCCTATTAATTCCAATACGACTCAATCTTTAGCTTGATTAGCTTAAATCAATTAAATTGAATAAGCTGATCCAATTTAATCAATTTGTCTTGTTTTATTCTGCCTTAATTTCATTAACTTGAATTGAATCAGACTGGATTGCATCAAACTAACTCAATCAAGTTTGATTCGGCGCAAATCAACTCGATTTGAATAAAATTGAACGAAATTGAGTCGAGTATCATTAAATTAAATTAAATTAGATTGAATCGACTTATGTTAAGAAAGGTAGAGGCAGACCTAAAAAGACTTGGTTAGAAAATATTAGAAATATCTTTCTTTATTAGATTTAAACGAGAATTTGACTTTTAATAGGACACAATAGAGAAAAAGGATTCATGTCGCCGCCCCCACGTAGTGGGATAAAGGCTTGTTGTTGTTGTTGTTGTAGATTGAATAGAGTCGAGTTAAATTAAATTGAATCGAGTCGAATTGATTCAAGTTGGGCTACATACACTTTTTTTTAGCCTTATAAATATTTCAAAATCAAGGTCACTTAGGCTTCGTTTGGGGTGTCTTTCTTAATGCTTTCTAAAGCAAAGCCCTATATGGGTCCTGGTTGGGTACCCATGCTTTACTCGGACGGGCTTCGCCCACCCACACCCACCCATGATGACTTTTGGGATGCCATACCCACCTATACCCACTCAGTTTTCATACTTTTTGAACGCAGTCTGTCACGAATTGATGGCCTTGAGGCTTGTTGCCCTTTGCTTTAATTGCAAACTTTCAAGAAGCATATCAGAATTTACCGTAGTCGCGGCATGTTAAGTGCTGCACACTATGTAGTGAGGATTGCAATAATATAAGATATACAGTGATTAGCAATGTAAATCGATTTATCCCCCAATGTTGAGTACCCACCCACAAGGCCATGGGCGTACCCATACCCATTGCGTTTGAGTGGGTACATGGGTGGGTGTGGGTACCCAATGCAGGGCTCTGTTCTAAAGCAGTAAAAAAGCTGTCCCAAATGAAAACCTTAAACAGATGGCTGAAATTGAAGTGGCTGCTATATCCGCATTCTTACAGCCCCTTTTCAAATATTTACTGTTCCTATAACAAGTTCAAACTTTTGGGGGCAGTTAGGGTTGCATATGGGTCATCCATCCAAGGTATTGATGGCCTTCCCACCCCCAAAGGCTTTCAGAAAAGAAAAAAAAGGGCACACCTGTGCCGAGCTGAGTGGGAGAGCGGGTCTTTTTGTGTGTAATATGGTAGAGCTGAAGGGGGACTAAGATTTTTTCTTTCCAAAATGGAGAGAACCGAGAGCTAAAAGGAGCTTTGGCATGCAACCAGAGAGGGGAAACTAAGTGGTTGCTTGTTCGGTTGTTCCAAACGGAGGGCAAGGAAGAGCAGCTGCAGCCCAGGGGGACATTTCATGTGCATTTGGAGCGAAACATTGAGTTGCGATAGTTATTATTCCTCCAACAAACGAGAGATGAGCAGCTGTATTGGGTGTCTTCTTACCTCAACGTCCAAAACTGTGGAAGGATGGCAGCTGGGATTTCAATCTTCCAAAGAGAAGAGAAAATGGAGGGCTGGGGGTGGCCCGCTTCCTCTTGGCTTCTTAGTCTTAAAAAATCGGGAGAGGAGGCTTTCCAATCAAGCCTCTTCTTTCTTTGTTATGACCTAAAGAAAAATCAGGAAAGACTATTAGGTCTACTTCTTCCTTCAACTTTTTCCAAAATTAGAGAACCTTAATTTTGGGAAGGCTTTTCTTTTCTTGGTTCTTTTGATTTTGTGAAACTTTGAGGAAGAAGACTTGAAGCTGCTGTCCACCTTTGTTTCATGCTGCATTCATCTTATTGATTGATCTTGAAGGATGTTGAATTCAGAACATCAACTTCTACGAGTTGGTGGTGGTGGATATAACATCTTGAGGCAGTCCAAACAACAATTCTTTTATTCAGTTGTCTTCATTTCATCCAAATTAAGGTGCTACTGTCGGTTGCCACCGAACATAGCTTTAGTGAGGTATATTCCTAAACTTAAAAAAACTTAGAACTTTTGGCCGCTAGTTGTGTTTGTATGATGCTAAACAAGCCCTAGATCTATGTAGAAACCTTGGTTTGTGCTCTCAAAACCTAAAACCCCGCTGTCCTCTTCAATTCATGAAAATTTGGCAATTTCCAACAGGTGATTCTCATTTGAGAATTTGAAGAGGATGACATCGAGCACTGGGTCGTTGGACTCATGTCCAATGAACCTCAAATGCATGAAAAAGTATTCATATTGGAGCCTTTTTTGTCTACAATCGAACTCTTGGCTAGACATCATCATTCGATCTCAAATCGAATGGCTATGGGTAGGTTTCAATCCCCACTATTTGCATGACCTTCCCATCAAATCATAAGATTTGACAAAATAGACATATAATATCGGAGCTTGCACACGTTAAAATTGTGGACATTCCTATGTTTTGATGTATGCCCAAAATGTGTTTGATTAATTCAGTAAACCCCGAAATTATTGTTAAGACTTCTTATAGACTCTCAAAGGTCTATGTTACAAGTCCTACAATAGATATAGTTAATCAAAGTTCACCTTTGGAATTTACAAAGTATTGAACATTAAAAAAATAATAATCATTGCTCGGAATTTCTATTTGCGCCATTTGTGCACAATGGAGCATGACACATGGAGCAAAATAGAGCGCAATTTTATTTAAATTTTTTAAATATATTTATAAACATTTTTAATAATTATATTTTTTATTTATAAGAATATAATATTTAATTTTAAAATATAATTAAAATATTAGTTAAGTTTTATAATGCTGCTGCCGGTTGTCCTAACACACGATTCGTGAGTCAAGAACGAACAAACTGCTCCTGAGCGTCTGTTTCTTCCTGTATGTTTGACGTACATGAAGGAAGCGATGGAGTGCGAGTGTCTGCCTGAGCCGTTTGTCTGATTTTGCCGCCCTCTCCTTATGGTCCGTATTTTTTCTTCCATCACGTGAGGCCAGCGCTGCTTTTTTCCTCGTCCGTTTAATCCCATCGCTGTTCAGGGTTTGTCCATTGTTTTCGCCTCCCACTGATTTTAATTGATTCTGCTGATGTTGCTAGATAGGTATTTCTTAATCTTCCTCTCTAGCTTTAATAGTTTAGTTAGGTATTCTTTAATTCTGCTGATTCCACCCTGCTTTTTCAACTGAATATATATATATATATTTACATTTCATTTTTCTTTAACTTGGAATCTGCTCTTCATATTGGTAAAATGATTCAAGAATAAAAATGTATTGAGGGAGAAGAGTATTTTTTTCGAAGTTTGAACGAAGAAGTCCAATCAGAGAGGTTATGTTTTAGTATAATGGTGAAGAGAGTTCATTTTTGTGCATTTCTTGAAGTATCTGATCATGTGATGACTCTCTACTAACCCTATTATGCTAGCTTGTCTTTCAGTTTAATGATTTTCGTATTCATGCTTATTTTTTTATAATTATTGTATAGTTTGTGTCATGTTCAAAATGATGTGCGCCGCACCGTGCGCTATGCGCCTTGACTCAAAAGTGAACTTTGTGCCGTGGTGCGCAATTGGCAATTAACAAGTATAGTAGTCCCAAAACTATATATTATTTTCCTTGATTTTTCAATCATATTTGCTTAGCCTAATTAGGGTTCATCGATTTTGATGGACCCATAAGTTATAAAAGATTCATTTTTTTCTTTGGTCTCAAAGTTGTAGGAACTTATTTCCCTTTTATCCTTAAAGCTATAGGCTCATCATCACCTTCATTTGCTTGAGTCCCAATCAGGCAGATTCTCTCCATCTCTAGTCTGCTAAGCCTTAGCTCTTTCTATTAAACTTGAGCAACCAGAAACTATCATTCCCCTTGGTCTCATAGCAAAGCTTTCTCGCTTGACCCAACTAAGGGCAATCTCTTAGTCTAGATCCCAAACTCTCGACCTCTATCACTTGGACAAAATAGGTGATTTCATCAATCATAAAATAAAATTCAAACTTCGAGACCTTTTAGAAGCATATTTCTCCTTAAATTCATCTTACCAAAATAGATGAATTTCACCAAGTCCTAAGTTAAATATTTAGATAAAATTGCATACCATATTAAGCAAAATCTTTCTCTTATCCAAATATTAAGAGATCAGCTAAACCTTAAAAAAAAAACACTTGGGTTTCTTTTGATGCAACAATGTGTCATTTCATCTCAAAAGATTGAATTCATTTCATCTCAAAAGATTGAATGTCTATATCATTGGATCTGAGGATTCCATAAATGATTGACTTACCTTAAAATAAACAGTTGTTATTATATTGGTTCTTCATAATCCTCTAAAAATATGACATATTTAAAAATCTAAATAAAAACTATCATAAATAATTTAAAGTGAAACTAACCTAGATTAAAATTAAATCTCTTCATATTCTATGATAAAATAAAATATCCAATCATTAGTGTGACAACCATTCAAATTTCACACACTAGATACAAAGCACCAGGGATCCTAGGATTATAAATTTTCATTTTCTACACATGTGATTGTGATACTTGGTATGATGTTTTATATGTTGTTTGTGTTGTGGGCATTTATGCTTAAGTCTTAGAATAGAGATATATGCTTTTCCTTGCATGTTGCCATGCCCGAAAGAGGCAAATAATTAAATCATTATCATATAACAAAGTTTTCTTATAGGTGTTGCTTAAAATCCCTAATTAGGCACATCCAATAGGATAAAAATTAGATTGACATTATAAGTGTCAGACAATTTGTGTGATGATGATTATATATTATATAATTCTTAACAATTTCTTTTACTATCTAGTCTTATTTTTTTGCTTTTCAAATATAATTTATAGATTTAAGAAGTTATATAAGCCTGGGGGACACATCTACAATAATGATGAGTGAGAAGGATAAACTCCAAAATAAAGTCATAGACGCATCAGAGACCAAAACTAGAAGACCATAAGCCGAGTCTATAATTTTAGCTTGACTGTTTAATTCAGGCAACTTAGCTGACATTTTTCTTTATTTCTTGGTTTTAATAATAAAAGGCATGTACTATTATTTTATGGTTAATTTTTTATACATTTGGTTGTTTGTTTACTTTGATGTGCAATGCAAGCTTTTTTTCAGATTTCTTCTCTTGCTTTGCTTGGGGTAGCTTGGATGTTTTATGCGGTGGGATCTTTAGAAAATATAATTTTTTACTAATTAAATTGTAATAATATAAAATCAATTATAGGATATTATTTTCAAACAAAAATTGCATAGCTTATCTAAAAGAAGTCAACTAAAAAAAAGATATTAAAGGCCTCCTTATGAATCGTGAGTTCTAAATCAATTTTTAATTGATTATTTATCCATAAGGGTGTGTTATCAAATTAATATCAAAACTCACGTACCAAGCTGATAAACATCATATTATAGCTCAGTGAGTCGCATGTGGAATAAAAACCTCATATCGAGGGACAAATTCATGGGATGTAATTAATCATAGAGGTTTATCTATGGGGAATTTGCACTCAAGAATAAAATAAACCATATTCAATCAAATTTATTGTATTGGGAAATTTTTTTGATTAAATAAAATAAATACAATTTTTTTATTGAATACATAATAAAATAATATTTTTATCCTCTAGAATAAGATAATATTTTTATGTCGTACTCGATCACAAAATATATTAAATCTGTCGAGGATAGCAAAAATTCTACCAATAATAATCTCTTGATTAATGTAATTATGTTTTAGGTTGAAGGGATGCTTTAATTATTTTAGTATGTGTTTAAGCATATATTTGTTTGAGAATATATATCAGTTTTTTATGAAATACTCCTTTTTTATTTTTTAGTTATATATAACTATGCTTCCAAGTCATTTTAGATCCTAGGTATGGCCTTCATTTTTTTTAATGCTAGTGTATGTTTGGTTGTGAGGAGCTCCCTATTTCCTGAAATGACTTTGGACCAAATGAGATGGGAATCATGATGGACATAGTACTTCTATCCCATTTTTTGGCTTAAGTGACTTCCCAAATCGCAGACGTGACTTTGGACCAAATGAGATGGCAGGCATGACAGGCAAAATTCTTTATCTCACTGTTTTTTTGCTGAAGTGATTTCTCGAATTTGCCTGTCAATCAAACACCCAAGTGTCTCACGTCCCCATTTCTGTCTTTAGGGTAATTATATATATATATATTCCAGGATCCACCTCATTGAGCATGAATTTAGGCTGAATGAGTGTGCTTTTTCAAACGCTATCTCCGATCCAGTGAATGGGATTTGCCCTACTAGATTACTCGTTGTAATATCCATCCATGTTAATCTGCAAAATCCATCAATCATTGGTGTGAATCAAGTAGTAGGATGTAATGAGATGATCAACCAATTTCTTATGATTAGCTACTTTTTTTGTCATATCCTATCAATTTTGAAACTATTTCTTTCAATCAGCTGGGCTTTGGATTTACTTATCTAAACTTGTTGCAACATCTCGTCTTGCAAATGAAAGTGTGTTGATATGCTAAACACTTATAGATGTGGTCCTACAGAAAAATTTATATAATTGCAATTTGCTATTGTCTAGTCTGCTGAGAAATACTAATTTCCAAGAGATGCTTTGGAATATAGTTTTTTATATATATCTTTTGATATCTAAGGCCCGTTTAGTGGTCAAGACTAACTTTAATTTTATTAACTTGGTTTTAAAACCTGCCAAATCTATTTTCTGATCATGATTATTTATTGTTTTAATTTCAGGAGGTGTAGATGCTGCAGATATTGCATCCCTGATATATTTGTGGAATCCTTTCACAGTAGTGACATGCCTAGGGTCTTGCACGTCACCGATTGATAATTTGATGGTTGTACTGGCCATTTATGGAGCCTGTTCACGTAAGGACTGAAAACTTTGCTATTAACCATAATTTGACTTTTTTGATAGAATTGTTACTAAATTTCCTTACTTCATGCTCGAAATTATTTTAAAAAATATGAAAGATAAACTTTCTAATAATATTTTATGTGGCTTTTTACATATCTAATAGATTATGTATATGACCCTATAACTAGTATAGAGAGTTAAATGACATGTTTCTATCTAATGTGTAATTACCTTGCTATCTTCAAGTGTGACATAGCTGTCTTCTTCCATAGCCTCCTTCGCTGAAATATTGGAAACCAGATGATCGCTATTTTTTCCTTTTTATTTTAGGACTTTCATTCCTTTTCGTTTTCATAAATATGTTTTGCTTGTTTTTATTTTCCTTGTATTGTAAATTAGATAGCCATAAATGTTGAACTTTGAGGCCTTTTGGTTAAAATTTTACTTGAGTTGATGTAGTTCTGTTGTAGCATAAGGATGTCAAATTAATAGAAGTTGATAAAGAATGGAAGGCATTAGTGGAGACTCGTTCCTTTTCATTTTCACAAATATGCTGTGCTAGATGGATGGTTTCCTCCACAAATATTGCATGACTAATATATTTTATATTTTCATGCATTCTCTTTTATTTTATGTACTTGTGTTAATGCTTAAGTGTGCCAAATGAGAGAATATTTACATATTTTTTTATTATCACATTCACATGTAATTTATTTTTTAATCTCTCATTAGCCCTTATTGACTTTTTGATCAATTTTGGTGGTTACAAGTGGGGATTTGAATTACGTAAGATTGACATCTACCTTTGATTATGGCTTGAATTGATGGAAGATGAGAACGAAAATCACCATTCATATAATTATGTAATTTTATTAAATATCGACTCTTCGTATAATTTTTTTATCTTTTGTTGCTCTTAAAATTATTAATGATTCAAATCCTATAAAAAGTCATGGAATTATTTATTATATTACACTGCATTTGAAATACAATTGAGATTACTGTCTTATGATCTTATCTACCAAACTTAGATTGGTGGCAAGTTTATTGTCTCTTCTTTTGGTGAGGCTAAGAGAAATATTTATGTAGGGTCTATATGATCTTTATGGTAAAGGCAATAGCTTGATTGGTGTCCCCTTTGGGTGGTAGTCTATGTTGCACCGATACGGATACGACAACACGGATATGACACGATACCGATACGGGGCACTTGGTACCATTTGGTACCCCTCGATACCGAGTGGTACCGAGCATTGATACTGAGCATAATACCGAGCGTTGCAGAGAGGTACCGACCAGTACTGAGCAGTACAGAATTTCGGTACCGAGCGGTATCGAGTTCCGATACCAAGCGATACCGAGCGGTACTGAGTTCCAATATCGAGCGGTACTGAGCCTACGATGAAGAAAATGAAGAAAATGAACCTTCACTACTCTCGTTGCCTTCACTGTTCGCGTCGTCGAGCGCTTCGTCGATGAAGGATGATCCTGCTGGCTTTAATGCTCGCATTGTCGATCCTCTTCGTCAACGAAGGATGATCCTGTCCGCTTCTATGCTCGCGTCATCGAGCCGCTCCTTTGACTACAACGAAGAAGACGAACGCCTGTGCGGAAACAAAAAATCTAGCTCACGGAAATGTTTAAGCCGCATAAATGAATAGGACAAATTGTAACAGGACACGCATATCCTATATGTGTGTCCTGTCAGATTTAAATAATATTTTAATTGGACATGAAGAAGTCATATCCGACACGTATTCGTGCCATATCGGTGGCGTATCCGTATCTGACGCGTGTTCGATACAACATGCCTCTTAAATAGGAGTATCGGTGTGTTGGAAAAACGTCTTGAGAGGGAGATGAACTAAATCAAAGCAACGGTGGAGGACAAAATTTCCTCCATGGAAGAATAATTCTCTGACCTACGTGACACGGTGAAGAAGATGTTGAATCTCCCCAAACAAACGACGGCATTAGAGGAGAGAGACTGAAGAGAAAAATACGAATTCTGAAATTCCTAGGGATGAAAATGACTTGGTAATCGTAGAGGGAGAAGGGAGAAGGCCCTATTTGGAACCCTTTTAGAGGGAGGAGAGAGGTGGAAGGTATGGAGAGAGGCGTGGATAAGTGGGGTATGAGCAAATGGGTCTTGATTGGGAAAGAAAGGAGGGAGATTATGGTTGAAGAGGTGTTGATTTTGACGGGAGAAGGGGGAATTCGAAGAAGGGTTTGGTTATGAACGTGGAAGGAAGGATCATAACACTTGGGGTGAACCACCCACTTGGGGAAGGGGAAACTATGGAGGAATTAGGGAAAATGAAGAGGATCCGAAGGTCAAGAAGCTGAAGATGCCCATCTTTGAGAGGGAGTATGCATACGGATGGATTTACAATGTAGAGAGATTTCACCATCAATGGGTTGACGGAGGATAAATTGATGGCAGCTAGCCTATGTTTGGAAGGGAAGACGTTGGCACATGAGGCGGCCCATACGGAGTTGGAAGGAGTTCAAAGAGTGATTATTGGAACGTTTTCGAACCAGCAGGGGAGGGGACTTCTATGAGTTCTTTGCCCTAGTACAAGAAGGCTCGGTGGCAGAATATTGCAAGAGTATTTGAGTACTTGGCGAGTTGACTGGATCTGCTGCCTGAGACCATTCTTGTGTTGAATTTCATGAAGGGGCTCAAATCAGAGATCCGAGCAATAGTTAGAGTCATGTGGCCTTGGGACTTGGGAGAGGCTATGGAGCTACCTCAACTGGTGGAGGTTCATAAGTACTATGAGAGGGGAGCTAGTGGCGACAGTTCAGGTGGTTCATATAGGATAACCACCACTTAGCACCCAAGGGGCCTTCACCGGGAAACCTTCATGAGATCCATAGGGAGAAGTTTATAGGAGGAAATGGGGGAAATTTTAAAAAGCTGACTGAGAGGGAGGTGCAGGAAAAGAGGGCAAAGGGATTATGCTTCTGATGTGATGAGAAGTATACTTTGGGGCACAGGTGCAAAGATCAAATTCTTCAGGTTCTCATTGTATGTGATGACGAGGAAGTTGAGGAGGGAGGAGGGAGTGAGACTGGCATAGAGGAGGAGGACAAGCTGCATTTGGACATGGCAGAGGTCTCCTTGAACTAAGTAGTAGGATTCACTCCTAGTCATACCATGAAGGTGAAGATGAAATATCAAACCTAGAGGTGGTAGTGTTGATTGATAGTGGGGCTACCCACAATTTCATCTCCTATCAGGTCGTGGACCAATTAGGGGTGACTTTGGTGGATACAGGGAGATATGGAGTGATGATGGGCACAAGGAAGGTGGAGACGAGCAAGGGCATCTATAGGAGAGTAGTATTGATCATACAAAGGATTCAGATGAGGAGATTTTCTCCTATTAGAGTTAGGTAGTCCTTATATCATCCTGGGGATAAAATGACTGCAGACCTTGAGGAATACCAAGGTTAATGTGGGGGGAGCATTGACCATAGAGCTGGTGGTGGAGGGGAGAAGAGTAGTGGTCAGGGGAGATGCAGGGTTATCCAAAGTCATGATGTCCCTTAAAAACATAATGAGAAGCATATAGGATGTGGGGGGAGGTTTCATGGTGGAGCTACTGAGATTAGAGGTGATCAAATTAGAGGAGAGTGGGGACATTCCTCTTTTAGTACAACCACTGATACAAGAATTCAGTGAGGTCCTTTAGCCACCTCAACATTTGTCATCACCAAGGGAGCAGGAGCATACCATCACCCTGAGGGAGGGGATGGCACCCATCAATGTCAGGCCATACCATTACCCTCAATTTCAGAAGGATGAAAGTGAGAAATTGATCGGAGAAATGCTGGAGACAGGGATTATCAAACCTAGTGTGAGCCCTTTTTCTAATCCAGTCTGACTGGTTAAGAGAAAGGATGGGAGTTGGAGGTTCTGCGTTGACTACAGGGCTTTGAATAAAGAATTTGTACCTTACAAATTTCCTATCCCAGTGATAGATGAGCTGAGTTGGGCAGTTATCATCACCAAGATAGATCTGAAATTCAGGTACCATCAAATTCACATGAAAAGGGAGGACATGCCGAAGACTGCTTTTAGAACACATGAGGGACATGAGTTCTTGGTGTTGCCTTTTGGCCTCACTAATACCTCTGCTACATTCCAGTCCTAAATAAACAGGGTCTTCCGACCCTATCATAGAAGATTTGTGATGGTTTTCTTGATGATATCCTAGCGTACAAGAGGTTAAATGAGGAACACAGAGAGCACTTGAGGATTGTCCTAAAGGTGTTACAGGAGTAGCAACTGAGGATAAATTTAAAGAAATGTTGTTTTTCATAGGCTAGTGTGGAGTACTTGGGACATGTACTATCTTAGGAGGGTGTGGTCGCGAATCAGGCTAAAATTGAGACTGCTGAGATGGCCACTACCAAAGAATCTGAGGGAACTGAGGGAATTTCTAGGGCTAACAGGATACTACAAAAGGTTCATGATTGGGGTATAACACCGTCTCCTGACCATTGATAGAACAATTGAAGAAGGATAACTTCTTGCGGGGAAGGAGGCCACCGCAGCTTTTGGGAGGTTGAAGAAGGCCATGATCACCATATTAGTCCTAGCCCCACCAGATTTCTGTCAGGTTTTTGTAGTGGAGATGGACGCCTCAGGGTATGGATTGGGATTAGTACTCATGCAGAGCTACCGACCCATTGCTTACTTTATCCCGGTGTTTAGAGCTAGAGCTAGGCTGAAGTCAGCTTAGAAGAGGGAGTTGATGACCATTGTGCTAGCCATCCAGAAGTGGAGACCTTACTTGTTGGGTCGATATTTCATTGTCAGGACAGACTAGTAGATCCCGAAGTACTTGTTGGAGCAGAGGATGGTGACAGAGGAGTATCAAAGGTTTTTGTCAAAGTTATTGGGATATGATTTTAAAATTTAGTATAGGCTCGTGTTAGAGAACAAGGCGGTAGGTGCCTTGTCAGATGCATGGGGGAGCTCCAAGAGATGGCATTATCGATATCGCTGATGTTGGATTGGGGGGTCATTAAGGAGGAAAGTATACGGGATGAGGAGCTGGGGAGGATTAGTGCAGATTTATTGAAGGATAGGAATAACCATCCTGTCTATTCTCTAGAAGAGGAGAGGTTGTTGTACTAGGGGAGATTTGTGATGCCTAGAACATCAGTCCATATTCCACACCTACTGTAGGAGTTTCATGGGAGTGCGGTTGAGAGTCACTCGTGGGTGCAGAAGATCTACAGAAGACTGGCAACAGAGTTGTATTGGAAATGGAGGCATAAAGATGTGGAGTTTGTAGCCAATATGTGAGATATGTCAGAGGAATAAGTATATGGCCATGGCTTCAGGGGGATTACTTCAACCCTTGGCTCTACTAATCGAGTGTGGGAGGAGGTCTCCATAGATTTTATAGATGGGCTACCCCTATTTGAGGGGTTTACAGTGATTCTTTTCGTAGTGGATAGACTAAGCAAGTATGCTCACTTCATCCCCTCTGACATCCCTACATGACAGTAACAGTCGTAGCAATTTTCATCAAAGAGGTGGTCTGACTGCATGGGGAATGGGAGTCTATAGTGTCTGATAGGGACAAGGTGTTCCTCAGCCATTTATGGAGGGAGTTGTTTAGATTGCAGGGGACAGTATTGAAGAGGAGTACAACGTACCATCCCCAGACAGAGGTGGTCAACAGGAGCCTGGAGACATACCTACGATGTTTTGTGTCAGAGACACCTCAGCTTTGGGCCAAGTGGTTAGCATGGGTGGAGTACTGGTACAACACTTTGTATCATTTTACTTTCAAGATGACCTCATTCAAGGTATTGTACGGACAAGACCAATCTCACTTTGTGCATTTTGGGCAGAATAACACTCCAGTTTCTTCAGTAGAAAAATACTTTGAGGAGAGGGACAGGGTGTTGGAAAAACTAAAAAGGAAGCTATTGAGGGCTCGGTAGATTATGAAGAAACGTGTGGATGGGTATAAGAAGGACATCCAGTTTGTAGTTGGGGATTGGATGTTCTTGAAGCTTTGACCTTACCGACAGAGGGTGGTAGATAATAGGAGGAACGAGAAGCTAACTCCGCGATATTTTTGCCCTTATGCGATATCAGAGAAGATTGGAGCAGTAGCTTATCGTTTGATCTTACCCCACGTATCTCTGTTGAGAAGAGCTATTGGGGATCATGCAGCTTGTTCAGAGTTGTCGGCCACGCTAACTGAGGAATTGGAAGTGGTTCTAGAACCACTAGAGCTACATGGGGTATGCCAGGGAGCAGAGACCAAAGAAATGTTGATCAAATGGAGGAACCTCCCTGATTATGATGCTACATGGGAGCCGTATGAGAGAATGAAACATAAATTTTCATCTTTTCAACTAGAGGACAAGGTGATTCTTTGGGAGCGGTGTATTGATATACTTGTCTAGGATGGACCGGTCTAGCCGGCAAAACACTTGGGCCGACCCCTTGTATACAATACGCGTAAGCCTATTGTTTCTGCCCCCTTTCTGTGGGCCCACAACTTAAGTAGAGAGAAAAAAAGAGGGATTAGGTGGGAAAGTTTGAATTAGGAGGGTTGTTTAGTCTTTTTGGGAGTTATTTTGTGTGCTTTATGTAGGAGGATAGCATTAGGGTTAGGGTTATCGGGTATTTTGGAGAATTTATGGTTTCCTTGGTGTTCTTGTTGGCTCTAGCGGCGTCTAGAGATTTGGAAGAGAGAGATCCTTCTGTTGAATTTAATATCAATTGTATCTTGCTATTTTCTTTTATGTACTACTCGATCAAGAGTGTTTTTTCTTGTTTTTCCTCCATTAAATCCTCATAAACTGCTTGGCAAGATTGCTGAAATTCTGATTTCAACAATCGTTTTCAGTTTCTACTACTATTTCCTATCACTATGTAAAGGAGATGAGATTTGTGTTGGAAAAAAGAAGAATAAAGGTGAAAAAAGATAACTTAAAGCTTACTAAAGTCTTAGAGCATTAACCACCAAGCTTCAATAGAGTGTAATGAAATCATCAAGCATTTTCATATAAAATTTGCACTAGTAATAATAATTTTTATTTAATGGGCCAAAAAGTCTGAAGCAAGATATTATTTATAGCCTTTTTAAGCCTATGAAACCTTGTAAAGTCTTAGAAATTAATAAAATACTATTGCTTGAATTGATGAATTGTCCTAATATAAAGAGAAACAAATAAAATAAACTAAAAATAATTAAAGCTACAAAAAATATAGAAATTTGAGTTGGCCAAACAAGGCAAGTAGAATGTACTTTGAGATTAAGTAATTTATGAAGTTTTTTCCTTTGAGTGGTATGGTCCACCTACCCATCAGGGGACCTTAAATTATATTTTTTTAATTATTCTCTCATGATTTTAAAGAGATTATGGGTCGTTCATGAGCTTGCATGGAGAGTTGTGCATTATAAAAACCTAAATCTTGATGCAGAGCTTTGGTTTGTGACCTTATCCTTAACCTTTATCCCATCCTTTATTAAGGGCGTAGTGTTTCTCTAATTACTTTTTAGATAGTGCTCCTATATTTACTAAATACTTTTTTTGCATGTTTTATGGATTCCATTGCTTTCATTTGGTAAGGTTGGTGTGCAAAATTTTGCATCTGTTTCTAATCATTATTGTTAATAGTGCATTAGGCCTTGGCCAAATATTTTTTTCACAAAATTTTCTTCCTTCAACTATGGACAACTTGCCTTAACAGAGGAACTGAGAAAAGACTTACATAGAATGATACAAACTTTCCATCTATTAAAGAAATTTTCTTGTTATTACTGCATCAGAATTACAATCCCCCATCTTAAATTCCATCGCTTTCATTTCAGAATTACAAATTTAGGTTTGATTTTTATCAAATATTTTCCAGAATATTGTAAGTCCAATTTGCTTGTTTATTTTTAAATTTGTTGTGAAAATTGTATCTCTATGTTGGCTAACTCATACTATGCTGGTAAATTGAATGTCAACTAGCATAATTTTAGTATACTTCAGCTTCTCATAACTTATTAAAATGACACTTCAATCTACATTTATCAATCTAGTTAAGATTGATTGTTGATGTTCTATTTCCTTACTACTTGCTCAAGCTTTCTTGATAATATCTTGGAGTTAAGGAATTTAAAAATGGCATAGTAAGATTATTATAATCTTACAAGCCTTTTCTTTTACATGAAGGTTCATTATCTCATTTCTTGTTCTTTATTTACCAAAATGATAATCTTTGGGTAACGGTTCATCCATCTTACCTACTTAGACTTCATTTGTAGCCTGACGCTTACTGATGTGAAACGTACTTGCGATGGAGGAGTTACTTTAAGAAATTAAAGAGATCAATTGAAACTTAATAACCCAAAATAAAATTATCGTTTATAATAAAAGAGTGATCATTAGAATCCGTGGTTTTAACTTGCTTAGGCAAAGATGAGCAAATTTCGGAAACCAAACATTTATTTCTTATAACAGCATACTGTTACCAAATGATTATGTAAACATCATTATGGTTTATCTTAGATTTCTACATGATTTTTTTGTAAATCTTCTCGATCTCTGAAATGCCTTAGCACCTGTCAAACTTTAAGGTCAACCTGACTGAGCTGCTACACAAATTTGATCTGACCACGTTTTCATGATCTTAATGTTATTGTTACACTAGGCTGTTTATTACGAGTGAGCCTTTTTTTTTTGTTTTGTTTGAATGATCATTTTTATCGTGTTTCAGGAATAGTTCCACTGGCAGCTTTTGGGTGGGTTATGGCAACACACTTCTCCCTATATCCTGGAATACTAGTCATACCGGTATGCCCTTTTGCTGCATAAATCATTACCCTAAGGCATCGTTTGGAACAATTTTTTTGTTGCTTTCTAAAACGGCTTTCTAATATAAAAATTTTTTGAATTAAAAAATTTTGTACTGAAAAGCTGTTTTAAAAAGCAATAAAAAAGTTGTTCCAAACGAAGCCTAGAACTTAAGTATTTTAAGGTTCAAATTTCAAATCAATTTTTTTTTTTGTGATCTTTCTCTTTGACAACACTTATATTACTACCCTTTCCGTAATACTTGTGGCCAATTTTCCAGGTACTTCTTCTTTTGGGGTATGGTCCTGATGCTCCTCCTCCGAAGTTATTTCCACAGAAGCATTCTAATGGAGATGGAAGTTTAGTTCATGTTTTTTCCTGGGGACCAATTTTGCAATTTGCACTTTGGGTTGTTATTTGGTCATGTTATGTTTTGCTCTTGAGTAGTATTTCTCTCAAAGGTTTTGATGGTTTATATGATATGCTCAAGAAGTAAGTTATGTCTTCTTTTGTTTCATATTATTCTCTATTGAGGTCACTTAAATTACCAAAATGCTTTCATGAATGGTTTCTATCTTAAGGAATTTTCTGAATGTTTACATCTTTAAATGTTGAACGTCTAGCATGTAAATATGCCAAAATAGTGCCTTCAGGGTTTCATTAGAATCCTTTTTTTTTTTCTAATATTTATTTTCTTAAGCATGGATTTTGTAGGACACTTGGTTTTATTCTTACGGTGGAAGATTTATCTCCGAATATTGGTGTTTTGTGGTGAGAATGCAAATGATTTATTTTTTCTATTGTTTTTGACTTCAACTCCATATTTATTTACAATTATGTACATGAATGCAGGTATTTCTTTGCAGAAGTCTTTGAGTTTTTCAGGGGTTTCTTTCTAATAGTTTTCCATGTGAACATATTATTCATGGTTTGCCCGTTGGCAATACGTTTGATGCACCGGCCATGTTTTTTAGCCTTTGTCTATATAACAATCTCAGCGACGCTGAAATCCTATCCATCAGTAAGTGTACTCATGCTTAGGAAGAATAATCAGCCATTAAATTGAATCTTGCTTTTTAGTCATATATCTTCATATCTTCAAGTTTATATTTTTCCTTGTAGTTTTGTTTCTTCTTGTTATCTATTATGTTTTATTAATCTCAAACATTGTGATCTGAATGTGATGGTTTCGACTTACCAAAACAGTTTCTCTGCACAATAGCAATAGACCTTTATTGGTGGGAACCTCATGGATTGGATACATCTTTTTAGTGGAGAAGAATATTTTGGTGTGCCTTTTTTTATTTTTTATTTTTAAATATATTTTGGTGTGCCTTGTTCACTGGAGAAGTCCCCTATGTATAGCAGGGAAACGAGTACGATATTCTAGGGTACACTTAATTAACATATGCCACTCACCAAATATAGGTCAATTTTTAAACAAGATGTTTTCTTATTTTAACTTTCATTTAGCCATATGCAATGTTTAAAATTGCGTAATCGGGTATTGAGACGTTTTTCGTTTGTGAGGCGAGGCGTAAGCCTCAAAATCAAAAAATTGCGTAAACATAAAATGATAAATTTTGTATATATTAATGAGTAAATAATATATAAAACATAAAAATGCACAAGATATGAAGTGAAATCAAAATATCCCAATAATAAGACAACTTGAAATATAGTTCAACTCAAACTTATTCTACATTAAGAAAATTTATACAAAGCATGCACTCATGAAGAATCAGACTAACACTAACAACTATTACTAAAGATGATGAATACAACAATATACCGGTTTGCAGGGTGTCCAAGGGGGCGCTGCGCCCTGGCGGGGTTCGACCGAGCGGTACCGAGCATGTTCCTAGTGGTACCAAACATTGTTGTACCGAGTGGTACCGAGTATGTACCGAGTGGTACCGAGCTTTTTGTTTTAAATTTTTAGAGGCGGACGCCTCTCAACCGTGGGGTGAGGCGCGCCTCAGTAAACTTGAGGCGTACACCTCAAATCCTGAACTCATTGCGTGGGCTTTGGGGCTTAAAAGGGCAAAATTGCGCTGAGGCGCGCCTCTTATTGCGCAATTCTAAACCATGGCCATATGGGTTAGAAAAATGATGTCCAAATGCCTTTGTTAAGATAATAGACAACTTTTCATCAGTGGCAAGACATGGAGTGAACAACGGTGACCTTCTTTAACTGAATAATATATTTACTAAAGTGGTAATCAACTTTAATGTCTTTAAGTATATCTTCGAAGACTATATTGTATGGGCTCCAAAAGTTGTGCCTTAACTTTGCTGTTAAGAGAGTTTTGGTGTTCCAGGTTAAATTTTTAGAAGGTATGCTATGTTGTAGATAAGATACTACTCATAGCTTTCAGCTTCTTTTTGCAAGGATTTTATGATTTTTTTTAGGTTTCATATATGTCATAGTCCTATTAGATGACTACCCCTCCTGATTATGAGATAGTACTTTCAATTAAGACTAGTCAGCTTATACTAAATACATGGTATATAGGTAGCAACAATTTGATTTAGGATTGGAAATTTAACAGTTTAAGCTTAAAACTGATGGTGGAGGAATAATGAAAAACTCGATTAATATTCCATAGTTTCGTTGTCTCAGATTGTCATGAACATTGGTCTATTTAGTTAGAGGAGGTATTAACCAACCTTGATCGAAGAATCTTTGCTAACAATCACGAGTTGCATTATCCAAGTGGATTTTGTAGACCTAGTTTGAATGTTTGTCTAAAAGTATGCATTTAAATTAAACTTAGTTAACAATGAGATTTATGATTCATTACTCAAAAGGTTTTTGCCATTATTGAACTTATAGGTTCTGGCCGTAATTGTAATTTATTAGTATCATTTTATAGCAACATCACCTAGTAAGATGGCCTTTAGTTATAACTGTTTACTTGTACCATTTGATGGTAAAATCACCTGTTAAAGGATTCATGTCATGTCATTACTGGTGAGAGATTATTTGAAATTAAATTGTAGCCGTATGCTTAATAAGGCATTGACTCTTTATGAGCTGATGCTTTCATTGAATTTGGCTCTTTCAAACTTGCACATAATTTAGAGGACATGCTTATTTAAAGACTCGAACATAATTTAGCTGACATGCTTTTTTTTAATGCATTTTGCATGCTGTCTATACATTTGCATAGTGTATTTATATGCTTTTTGATGTTGATGTATGATGTGCTTGCACATTTTTTAGATGAAGATAATTTAAATTCATTCTTTAGTTAACTCGCATAGCATCAACCGGACATTTGAGAGTAAGAAGTAAATGAGTGAATAAAGAATCACACTTTTCCAATGAGATGTTTTTTTACGACACTCTCCAAATTACATTCATGGCTATATATTAATCTAATCTCATGGTTAGTCTCAAGTTTGGAATTTAGATCCATGATGGCAAGTTCTCTTTGTTAACCCATTAGCACAGAAAAGCCATCGGGAAATGTCACGTACACTTGTGAATCATGCATGCATGCTGTACTCAACGTCTCAACATATCATATTTGTCTTAGCTTTCCACTTGAGATTTTGATTTTGGTTAACACTTGAGGTTTTGATTTTGGGGAGAAACATCTTATTTATTTTCTCCGTATTCCTTGCCAACAAAATGAATTTGGATAGCTTTTTGTAAAACAAAATAACTCCGAGTAGTATTTGAAATAATTACTTTTTCTTGGCAAGGCCAAGCTTTTTTGAGGGAAATCTCTTTTATTCTCCCAAGGGGAAATCAGGTAGCCATAAATCTTAGATAGATTTACAATGTTTAGAACATTTTGTAGTTTGATGCATAATATATTCAAACCATCTTTTGCCATACTTAATTTCTGATAAATGAGAGTAGTTCATTGCATCCATTGATTTTGTTATATCTTATAATAGATAACTCGTCTACTATCGTTATCCTTCTATCATATAGTTGAGGAGGAAAGGACTGTAGTAAGATTATGGCTGGCAGTCTAATACCCCAAGTGGGTGGTTCAATAGTGGTTGACAACAACACCAGTTTCACCCTCCATCACACACAAATGCATAGGTGCACGCACTTTTTATCGGAAATAATTTAAATTACGTTGAAAAGTGGTAGTGGGGGTGCTTTACACTCTTTATGATTTAGGCTTCGTTTGTGACGACTTTTTTACTGTTTTTTAAAGTAGTTTTGTAGTACAAAAAATTTTAATTTTTATACTAAAAAATTGCTTCAAGAAGCATGAAAAAAGCTGTCCTAAACGAAGCCTTAGAGTGGATTGGTTGCTGCGGAAGAACTAATGTAGATGGCCACCATTATAAATGGCGGAGGCCAGTAGGGGGAATTTTGCAAAATCCTATTTTCCGCAAGAGTTGTGAAAGGTCCTTTTCTTTGTCAATATATACCTTTGGAGCGTGTAATGAGATCGTAGAGCAGACTAACTTGTGAACATTAGCACAAAATGTCAAGGAACAAAAGGTGAACGCACCAAAAAACATTCGGTTTTGGGAAAATGTTCAATCTTATGTTAAATTCCGTTTAGTAGTTGTAGTTACCCATGATTGTTAGCTCTTTTTTTTCATGGCAATATTTTGTTTGGTCAAAACAAATTAAAACCTAGATGAGGTAGTATTGTGTTGAGTAGAGAAATTTTGTCAGACGGTTCACAATTTTGTCCATCTCCTGAATTAATATCCTCCTTGAACGTGGTGCAGTGCTGCCCATTCTAATGAAACCTTACCAATATATTTTTGGCTGTGAGAATTTATAGGCGATTAGAACTCTGTACTAGTTAATGATCTCTTGTTTTTGCTTTAACCCGCTACAACTTTGGGTATTTGCAACTTTATTTTGCTTGAACTATTCACCTGAATTGCATTAGTAGTATCTTGTAACATCTTAAATAGCCTTTGCAAATATTTTTTAAATATGAGTTCTTCTTGCCTGGTTACATTTAAAATGTAGACATGCTAGTTATATTGCATTAGGAGCACACAATTTCGGATTAGAAGCCTCTGTAGTATTGTTTGTTGATCATTTTCTTAAAATGTTCACACACTTTTTTTTTTGTCTCGATCTATTTCTAAGGTTGGAGATGCAGCTCTATACTTGAGTCTTCTTGGCCTTTTTGCAAATGAGCTAGCAGGTATCATTTGGATTGGCTATTATAACCTATTCCATTTTCAATGCTTAGTATGTACTCTTATTTAATATGAAGAGGTGATTATTTTTTTAATATGCAGAGATGAAATTTTCTTTCTTCCTGTTTTGTGGTTACATCGGAGTCTCTCTCCTTAGCCCCGTCATGCACAACTTATGGATATGGAGGGTACCCTCTCTCTCTCTCTCCTCTCTCTCTCTCTCTCTCTCTCTCTCTCTCTCTCTCTTACATACACACAGGCTTTCGTTTACTTATTGACATGAAACAACTAGGACTAGTATGTGCAAGCTTGTATACATTCGTGGATGCATATAGCGAAACGATATGAGTTATCTTACATAATGCACTACAAATCTTAGGATGTAATGCCTTTATGCAATCACTATTTCCGGGGCCGAATTTTCGGAGCCCACAAACGTAGAGATATGTCCGGACATCCACTTAAAATTTGACACGTGGAGTGAACAAGTTGAATTTATTTTTTACTTTATATATTTAATGTGTCTGTGGAACTATAAAAAAAGCGCAGTAAAAACGCAACAAAAGAGCAGTCAAAGCGCAAATAAAGTGCAACTAAAGCGCATTCAAAGCGCAGTAAAAAAGCGCAACAAAAGAACAGTCACAACGGAACTAAAGTGCAGGTAAAGCGCACAAAAAAAGTGCAACCAAAGTGCACTCCACGTGTCAAATTTTAAGTGGATGTCCGGACGTATCTCTATGTCCGATCTCCGCACCTAATAATTTTTCCACTATTTGACCTGTTATTGAAGACTAACAAATTGATTGGCAGGGTACTGGTAATGCAAACTTCTACTTCGCTACTGGTCTTGCATATGCGTGCTTGCAGGTACATCACTAGCTGCTTTCCTTGAACAAATCCTAGTTTTGTGCTATCACTCGTTCTAATTTGGAATTACTTGTTCGATAAACCATTTAGAATCTTTAGAAGAGTAGCTTATAGAGCAAATTCAAATCTGTGTAACTACCATGAAGTTATAAGATATTTTCCCTATATTGCTTAGTCTTACCTTTGTCCTTTACTTGCAGACTGTACTTGTTGTGGAGAGTGTAAGTACAATGCTGAATCACGATAGAAAGCTAAAGAAAGAGCTGAAGAAGACATGAATCTTCTTCCCTTTGGCTTGCGGGTCCTCCAAATCTCAATAGAAAACACCCACACTTCACATTTATTTTCTGTTTTAAACTGGAGTAGAATGTGTTTTAAATCATCAAACATGTTATTGTACGCAGTGTTAAGTGTGGGACTTTAGGATTTCTACCATGGGAGTTTTTGGAAGATTGCTAAAGAACTTCAAAGTTCTGTATTTGCTAACCTTCCAAAAGTTGACTTCAGTCCTTGCAACTTGTAATGGGCACATTCTTTGAATATCTTCTTGCTGATAAGACTAGAGAGGGAATTGAAGGAAATTTTGAATTATAGAGGTCAATCTTAGAGCCCGAAAATTTTCGTTTGAGTACATTTTAGAATCAAATATATGTAGTATAATTTTAGTAGTAATAGATCTAGTGGAGGGGCATGTGATTTTGTGCTATTAAGTTATTTTAAAAAAGTACACTTTTTAAATTCTTGGGACTATTGTTCAAAGTAATGGTGAAATAGATGAAGATATTATTAGTAGAATTCAAGTTGGATGGTTGAAGTGGGGGAATGCATCCGGCTTATTGTGTGATAGAAAAGTATCCCACAAATTTAAGGGAAAATTTTATAAAATGGTTGTGAGACCTGCAATGCTTCATGATATAGAATGTTTGCCATTAAAAAAGAAGCATGAAATTAAATGTTGAAGGAATGAGAATGCTCAGATTGATGAATGATTTTACTCTTGGAGATCAAATGTGAAACAAGCATATATACGTGGAAAGGTTGGAGTAGCTCTAGTGGTACATAAGATTAGAGATATTTGCCTTAGATGGTTTTGCCACATAAAACACCGACCTTTTCATGACTGGATTAGAAGATTATGTTTTATATTTGACCAATGTTAAGAAAGGTGGAGGAAGATCTAAAAGACTTTGTTAGGAAGCATTAGATATGATCTTTTTTTTATTATATTTAAACAATAATTTGACTTTTAATAAGCCATTGGAGAAAAAAATATTCATGTATGCTATTTGTTATAGTTGTGTTGTGGAACCCTTTCCAATCTTCAAGCATTGAATCCTGACCATCTAAGTTGCATTGGATGACCAAGATGGATAAATTCCCTCTAACATGAGAGGATTCAAAATTATTATTATTTTTCTAAGAATTAAATATCTTATCATTCATATAAATGTTTTCCACTTTAAATTCAATATACTTGCAAATCTATTTTATTGTGATATATTATCTAAATAAGAAGAATATGATGTATGCAAAGCATGTCAAACAAAAAATTTGATATGGAAAATTGGTTTTAAGAAATAAATTTCATCTCATAATTAGTTCTTAAAATCTTTGTTATTATACTTTTATTTAGGTTTGTAAATGAGTTGTTTGGCTTAGAATGTAACAAAAAAATTTATGAGTTCGAATTTGCTTAAAAGTTGTTTATAAATTGTATAAATATATATTGCTACATGTCTATATACATATAATCAAATCATCATGAAATTTAATATGATTAATGATTTTCTTAAATCTTTAACCTAATTTAATCATAAAAAGATGCTCATATTTGATTATAAAATTATTGAATTCATAAAAATTAAAGCTCTCAACTGCTAAAATTGAATTAGATGGTGAATTTTAAATATTTTTAGGGGTTATTTGATTTGAATTTAAATAGGTATAAAGTTCAAAATGCATGAGTTTTGAAAATATTATGTTTGGTTTGAAATAATAAAAAACAGAGTAAAATTGAAAATATCTAAAATTCATTCACTTTGTTCAATTTAGATCTATTTGAAAATCATTAGAATGACACAATTCCAAATAAATTATATATTGTTTGAGATGTAATTTAATCCTAAATACTAGCACATATTTGTATATATAAGAGTTTGTGTTTATGATCTAAAAAATGAATATCAAAGCTTCTAATCACTAAATTGAACTAGATGTAATCCACTAAATCATTAAGTTTGGTCAGTTTTTAAATACACTGTAAATTATATTATTGCAGCTACAATTCATCGCTCACTCTCGATGCACATAACTTGTGTAGATCACCGCCTGTAGCTAGTTATCGACCGCTGTTGTCATATGCCACTGTCAGTGTAGCTCGCTACTTTACATGGACTACCAAAACCTCATGCTAGCTATCAACTATCACGATTGTTAGGTTTACAGTGCATTCGCATGTATTTATTTTATATTCATTCAAATAACTTTGAATATTTAAATATACTATATTTTTTATACAAAATTCTATTTTATTCTATATTTCCTTTTAGTCCAACCAAATAACCCCTAAATTAAAATAAACTTGTTACCATGAGCCTTTTTTTTTAACGCAGCCCAAACTCTTACGTTCAAAGGAAAAATTATTAGGTGCGGCTTGTGCACCGTCCGCACAAACATGAGTACCTAGCGGTAACCAGCGGTACCGAGTGCCGGTACCTAGCGCGGAATAAGACTTGTGCACACGGTTCTCCCGTCCGCACTCCGCACCTAATAATCTCTCAGTTCAAAGGCTCGATCACTCGTAGCTCATCCAACTACTATTGTTTACTAAACTCTCATAAAGCTTACCATTTTAAAGCAATAAGAATCATAGCTTTGCTTGCGTTGCGCTTCAGCATAACACCCACTCTCATTTTTATTCCTCACAATATTACTTAAATTCAAAACCTCTGATTCCTTTCCTCCTCCTCCCGCCTCCCCCTTCCCCTCTCCAAAACACTACTCTTTAACCCCTCCTCTTCCCCCCCATTCGCCATTCCCCAAATCACCATGCACCGCCCGAGCCCACCATCCGATTCCGACCAACATGCCGACCGCCGCCGGCTGCCTACTCCACCGCCCAGCCGTCCCGACCAAGCCCAAACTTCGAAACCCCTCGCTACGCACCACGATCTAATCAACAACTACCCTTCCCACCGCCCACGCCTAAAGCCTCCGCCTTTAAAGCGCACGAGTCCCCTCGCTTGGTTCGCGGCCATCTGCTGCGCCCTCTTCTGGACCATCATCATCCTCGGCGGCCTCGCCGTCCTCATCATCTACCTTCTCTTCCGCCCGCGCAATCCCCATCTCGACATCCCACAAGCCACTCTCAATGCCGCCTACCTCGACATCGACATCGACAGTAATACAACCCTCCTCAACGCCGACCTCACCCTCCTCGCCAATTTCTCAAATCCTAACCATAAAGTTGATGTCGTCTTCACTCTGCTTGACCTAGACCTCTACTTTGGGGCCACGCTTGTGGCCGCCGCGGCGCTGAATCCGTTTTCCGAGCGGAGGGGGGAGTCGGCGTTGAGGAGTGTGCATATGGTGGCGAGTCAGGTGGCGTTGCCGGAAAAGGAGGCGGAGGAGTGGAGGAGGCAGGAAGAGGAAGGGGCTGCGGGGAGTGGGGGAGGGAATGGGTTGATGATGGAGGTGCGTGGGACGATGAGGACGAGGTCGGAGTTGGGTGGTTTGCTGAGATTTAGTTATTGGTTGCATTGTCGGTGTGGGATTGTGATGGGGGCGCCGCCGGGCGGGGCTTTGAAAAACGTTAGCTGTAGAACGAAGCGGTAGTCTTACTCTTACATGTTTTTTTATATTGATTTTATTAATTTAAGTGTTGTTTGACGCAGAAATCTGTGTGACAAAATCCGCACATTATTTCGTCCGGTCCGGTGTACGGATTCGTCAGGACATCAATTCAGATGCGTCACATCATCAAAATATATTGAAACCTAATTTATTATGGTGATGTGGCGCGTCTGGATTGGGTGTCTGGACGTCCGGTGACCGGATGTAATAATTCGCTGACAAAATGGATGAATTTGGTTGGCTAAGACTCCGTTTGGTCAGCTCCTTGCTAATTTTACAAACTAGGGAAATTATTATTTGCAATCATCGGACCATCCAAACGTGAATCATGATGTGCCACGTCATTCGGTACATATCACTACACAACAAAAAAGTGATTTGGCCCGTCCTGATTTGCTTTCGAATAGCGTCCGGTAACATCACAGAATAATTTCTCCACAAACGAATCCTTAGACTTCAATTGGGGCAGTTTTCTTACTGCATTATATATTAATTTTTTATTATAATTTGTTTTAAATCAGCAAAAGAATATTAATCAAAAGCTATAAATTTTTTTATTAAAAAAATAGTAAAAAAGTTTTCTCAAATTAAATTTAGAAATTAATTTTCTTTATCTCTCCATCTCTACTAAAAAATGGATTGTAAAAATTCTCATGAAGCATCATTTTTGATGTGAAGTATGAATTTGAAAGCATTCAATAGAAGATAACTCGGCCCTTAATAACTAATGTAAAAAAATTTGTTAGATGGGCCATCTTGTCACAAAGATTTGATGACTCCAAAAACTCATGAATGTGAGCATTATGAGGGCCTAAAACTAGTTGAATTGGGTTGGTTGAGGTTGGACCATCTTCTCCTTTAAATGTGAAAGATGTGTGACCAGTTGGTTTGAGAGGTCAACCTTTGTCAATGATCCGCATGTTGATAACTTTTGATTGTTACACTCTTTATTTGCAAGGTTTTTAAGAAATTATAAGAGCAATCCTTAATTATAATCTTAGGCTTTCTTTGGAATGACTTTCTTAATGTTCTTTTAAGTAAATTTTTAGTAAAAAAATTTTAATTTTTGTACTAAAAAATTGATTTAAGAAGTAATAAGAAAGCTATCCCAAATGAAATTTTAATTTATGCAATTTGTGTTATAGCACTCATCCACAAGCCCTAAAAAATTTTCAATTAAGATTATGATTCATAAATATCGCTTTCTTATTTATTTATTTATTTTTAAATTGTGATAATGAGTTTTTATTATGAATAAAAAAATTCATGTAAAATAATGGAAAATAAGAAATTTCATTAAAAAAATGTATAAAAAAATTGTTATAGATTTCCTGTCCTCGAAAGAATCAGGGCATGAAAATTGAAAAATGGCGCCGACCCACACAATGATACAACCCATATGTCTGATTGGGCCTTCCGAACTAATCCATTGTGATTTTTTTTTTTTTTTTGGGAATTTTAGGGGCAGAGCCCATTCATTGCACATAAAACGGCGGCCTTGCGATGACCCGGTTAGGAGAGTAGAGGTATTAGATTTGACTTATGTTAAGAAAGGTAGGGGTAGACCTAAAAAGACTTGGTTAGAAAATATTAGGAATGACCTTTCTTTATTAGATTTAAACGAGAATTTGACTTTTAATAGAACACAATGGAGAAAAAGGATTCATGTATCCGACCCCACGTAGTGGGATAAAGGCTTGATGTTGTTGTTGTTGGGAATTTTAGGGGAAGAGCCCATTCATTGCATAAAAGAAATTACAAGTAAGTAAAGCAGCAAACTATAATCCATAATCTCAAAACAACATAAACAGGTTATGGATTCTAAAGGAAAGAAAATTACAACAAAAAGAAGAAAAATAAAAAACAGAAGGCACATGTGCCTAAAGTACTCAAGTCACTCTTAAGCTCGTAAGTGTCAAAATATCGTTGGGGCAGAAGAAGAGCGAAGCCCCTGGTTGCCACGAGGACCATCTAAGGGGCAGCTGAATAGAATCAACATTCATCATCGTCCTTTCAAAAAATAATAGCAGGAGACCTGAAGCAGCAACCAAAACACCATGTTTCTCAAAAATTGACATGTTGCAGGCAGTAGTTGTAAGAGGAGCAATTAGTTTCTGGGCATAGCACAACACCAGAGTAGCAAAACCAAATGATGCCACATCCAGGCTCCTCCAAGACAATAAATTCTTGTAAAGTGGTAGTAAAGGAATAAACCAAAGACTGTGCAAGTCCATAACCCAAAAATCAGTCTTTTTTCCATCCATGAGTTTTGTAAGATACTGCTTTTCTAATTTTCCCAATAACAGTGGCATGACAGTCGAAAACACCTCCAAAGATCCTCTCATTTCTTGCCCTCCAGAGAAAGTAAACAATGGCAGAAGCAGTAAGGAGGTAGTAGTTTTTGTTGTGAGCAGAGAAATGTTGCTCAAAGATACTATCATACAGTTTGTGTAAGTTTGGCCTCATCAGTAGGCCATTCAACCAAGGAAGAAGAGTTGACAATTTTAAAGGAGAAACTGCATTCAAAATAGATGTGGGGAATGGTTTCCATGTCGTTATAACAGAAACAACATTGATTCTGGGTTGAGATCCCCCTAGCAGCTAGCACATCAGAAGTTTTTAAGCCCTCTTTAAAAGCAAGCCAAGCATATACCGAGTATCTAAGAGCCGATTTTTTGTGCCAAATGTATTTATGCCAGGTTACATTGTTCAGATTGGTAAAAAACTGGGAGTTAAAATCAGCAAACTTAGGATAGTGCTTACCAGCCCAACAATTATTCTCCTCAAAGCTGTCAATGGAAACTATATTGATAATAGAGGAGATTTGGCTGTTAAAACAGGGCGGTAGGTTCCACTTGTCCCCTAGAATAATACTCGAAAGGTTGCTGCCAAAGTAATTGGAGTATCTATGAAGAGAGTTAACAAGCTTCAGGTGTTCAGCAATAGAGTAACCACTACACCAGGGATCCCAAATAATAGAAAGATTGATGCTCGGGTTTACAGAAAAAGAGAGGTAGGGTCTAATACAGTTTGCTTTGTTACACAGGTAATCCCATTAATGGGAACGTTTAGTAGCTGTAAAATTCCAAATGGAATAATAATAAGCTCTCCACCAGCTAAAAAGTAAGTTGTTTGTATTAAGAAATCTCCAAATGATAGAGCACCCATAGCTGTGGTAGAGTGAATCAATAGAGGGTATACCCAAACCCCCATGTTGCTTAGGACGGTAAGTATCTTTCCAAGACACAGTGAACAACTTTTTTTGAGTGATATTGCCAAAATAAGTAAATCTGGAGCATAAGTGATTGATCTGTTTGCAACAACCTTTAGGTATAATCAAACCACGAATCCAGTAAGCAAGGGTGTTACAGATGGTGTATTTGATGAATTGGATTCGACCCGTAAGAGACAAGAGTTTAGCTTTCCACCCCTCTAACTGTTTGGTGATTTTGTGCATAAGTGGTTGAAAATCAGCCATTTTCAGTTTCCTATAGAAGATAGGTAAGCCTAAATATTTAATGGGACTGAAAGATTGATGGATATTAAGCATATTACAGATATCAGAAGCAACCTGGTTTTTATTTGAGATGAGAATGGAGCTTTTTTGTGGGTTAACATGCAAGCCAGATTTGGAAGCAAAATTCAATAGGATGAAATTAAGGGTGCTCGCATTACTAGTATCGGCAGTACCAAAAACAAAAAGGTCATCAACAAACATAAGGTGGGTTACATCACAGTTACCAGTGGAGATACCTTTAAAAGTGTTTCTATTAGAAGCCAAGTCAAAGCTAGAAGATAATCCATCCATAACAATACTGAACAAGTAGGGAGAAAGAGGACAACCCTGTCCCTCAAGTGCCCCATTAATGCAAATAGAAAAGTACACATCCGTAGTACAAGATTTGATCCAAGTGATGAACAGATCAATGAACCCTTTGGCCTCAAGTCTTTTATAAAGAAAATCTCTGGAGACAGTGTCAAAGGCCTTGGTGATGTCAAATTTAGCACATAAATACTTATGCTTGGCTTTGAGATTAAAGATTTCAAGAAGCTCAGCAGCTAAGAGAATATTATCAGAGATGATTCTCTTATGGATAAAACCTCCTTGGCTAGGGTGGACAATGTGGGGTAAAACCTCCTTCATTATATTGGCAATGATTTTAGCGATAATCTTGTATATAACATTGCACAAAGCAATTGGTCTGAAATCCTTCACATTATTGGCATGGGGGTGTTTTGGTATTATAGCTATAGTAGTAGCTTTGACTTGTCTAGGCATGTACCCATTGGAAAGAAGGAGGTGACAGCTTTGCACAGATGATGTTGAATAGCATTCCAAGTGGATTTATAAAAATCCAAACTAAAACCATCGGGTCCAGGTGCAATGTTGGGTTTGCTAGAAAAAACAATACCCTTAATTTCTTCAATGGTCACCGGTGAAATAAGAGAGGATACAAGATGAGGAGGAATGTTATTGCCAGCCGGGATGTCAGTGGGGTGCTGAATCAATCTAGCATGAGAAGCATTGTTAAAAAGCTTGCTGAAATGGTTGATAAAGACATTAGCATTGTCTTTATGAGTAGAATAAGTCCCATGCTCATTGGTAATCTCTTTAATGCAGTTGTGATTTTTTGAAATATTGATTTTGGCATATAAGAACTTTAAATCATCTTCCCCATGGGTGAGCCATTTAACTTTAGCTCTTTGAGCAATCCAACTAGTGAAAGTGGCTTGGTAGTAAGCATGCTTAGAGTTGATGGTCTTGAGGTTGCAGTTGAGTTGATTGTCCAAAGGATTGAGTTGGATTTGAGAGATCACAGAATGTTGTTGGGTCATGAGTGAGTCAATTTCCAGTTGAATGGAATTGGCATTGGACCAGTTCTTATTCTTGAGGGCATTTTTTAGAATCTTAAGCTTGAAGATGAAGGAGCTCAAAGGGCTGCTGCTATTAGGTTGAGAGAAGACATCCATGAGGCAATTCCAGAACTCCGGGAATTTAGTGCTGTAATTTTTATACTGGAAACGGTGACCCCTTTTGATTTGAGAAGAATTCATCATGATTAAGGGAGAGTGGTCCGAACAACCAGGGTCCTCAACCTTACAGTAGGAGTTAGGGAAGTTGCTGAGCCAAGAGTCATTTATTAAAACCATGTCTAACTTGATGTGGATGGGATTGTGTTGTTGTTGGTTGTGCCAGGTGAAGAAGTGGCCAATAGAAGAGAGTTCATGTAATCCAGCATTGAATACAATGCTATTAAAATCACCTAATTTAGCATGAGAGAGAGCAGTTCCACCAACTTTTTCATTTAGATTTCGGCAACAGTTAAAGTCACCGAGAAGTACCCAAGGTATAGTGATTGAGCCAGCAATATCTTGAATATTTTTCCACAGATCTTGTCTTTCAGCATGAGAATTACTAGCATAAATATCAGTAACAACACAAATAGTAGAGGAACCAACATTAATAATGCTATGAATAAATTGACTAGACTTATGTTGAGTGGTAAACTTGATATCATCCTCATTCCATTTTATCCAAATACGGCCAGGGTTTGAGTGAGAGAAATTGTCACAGGAAGCTTCCTTAGGGAAGATTTTGTGGTGGGCTTGAAACCAAGGGTTAGAGAAGTTGGGGTTAGTGATTTTAGCTTCCAGAATAATGAGGATGTCAAGGTTATGGGCTTGGGCTAACTGTTTGCAGCAATTAACTTTGTCTGGGCTGTTAAACCTGCGGGTATTCCAGGCTGCAAAGTTAGGGAGGGTCTTTGGGATTTTGAGTTTGGGGTAGAGGCTTTTTTTGCTTGCTTGCCTCTGGTTTGTTTCTGGCTTTGGTTATTTGGCTGTTGGGTTTTATTAGAGTGAGAAGTGGAGGTGGATGAGTCAGTGAAGTTTGTGGGGATGTTGGGTTCATGATTGCGAGGTGAGGTTTGAGGTGGGTTATTGATGTTAGGATTGTTAGTTGTGGAATTGGGAAGCGTGTGGTTGGTGGTTTGGCTGGTAGTAGGGAGATCCTCATCAAAGGCATCCTGCTCACACAGGGCATGGAATTTATTACTGTTGTTCAAGAGGGGGGTTGTTGAGGTTGAGGGATGATATCAGTGATATCCTGAAAATCACCATACGTAGAATTCAAGTTTGGGATGAGAGTGTCATTGGTGGGGTTTTGTGGATGGTTAAGTTTGGTAACAGGGGGATGAGAGGGTTTGTCTGGTTTGGCTTGGGAGGATTGGGCTTGGGTATTGTAAGTCTGGGAGGAGGAGATGGGCGAGGTTTACGGCTTGAGCTTCTTCCTCTCTGGTTTGTTGTGGCTTGGGTCTTAAGAATGGGGTTTTTAGGACATAGAGTAGGAGGATGCATAATCGAACCGCATTGAGAACATTTTTTTGGTTTCCAGTCGTATTGCACACGTAAAGGTGTGGATTTACCATCAACAGAAAAAAAATTTCCTCGGGTAAGGGAGAGTTACTGGTGACTTGAACACAAATTCTAGCGAATGTAAGACGAGTTTTAGCAGCCGTTAAGGCATCGACAGCTATAGGGATACCGGCACAGCTTGCAAGTTTAGAGATACCTTCCGGAGTCCAGAGTGAGAGCGGCAAATTCGTGATTTTAATCCATAAAGGAATGGAAGGAAATTCCTCACGCTTAGAGACAAAGTCCGTCGTCCATTTCTGCAGGATGAACGCATTTCCAAAGAAAAACCATGGACCGCCAGTCCATGCTAGCTCATAGTCTTCAATGGCAGTGAATTTAAGTAAAAAGAAACCGTCATCCATAGTAAGCAGGGAGAGTGAACCTTTGAGAGCCCAGGTTTTTTTTATCACTGTGAGAAGGGCTTCGTAGAATGGTCGCTGCCCGGTAGAGTAGCCTAACAGAGAAAGGGACCATTCGGGAGCTCCAGCAACATATTCTTCGTTGGTAAATTGAGCGGTGTGGTTTTGAGCTGGGACAAAGGCGAGAGAGTGGGAGAAAGTCGTGGAGAGTTGAGAGGTGGAGGAGAGAAGATTCTTCCATAGAGGGAGAACCGAGTTGACTGTAAGGGAGGGGGTGGAGGAGGAAGGGAGCGGAGGAAACTCTGAGTCGGCCATGGGGTACGACCCCCAGCCGGGGGAGGCGGCGGGAAAATTAGGGCGAATGCAAAACCCTAGCAGAGCTCACGAAGAGAGAGAAAATCGACTTAATCAAATATTTTACAATTGTCCATTGTGATTGTAGTTATGAATTTCCCTTAGTGGCATTTCCTCAAACGCGTTATGCGCCTCGTCACAAAGTCCCGACCCACCTACAGCAGTGCCGAAACAGAGATTGGCTGTTAGTACCATGTCGGAACTCTCTATCAGTATGCTTGGCATGGACGGGACGAACTAGGAAACGACGCGGTGAATAAGTGAGACTTCTTCTGGCGTTTGGTGTCAGATTTGATGGCAAGTTATTGGAAAGCTGGAGGGCTTTTTGAACCTGGTAAAGATTCTATTCGGTGAAATCAATTTCGCAAAGGCCTCCCTGGCTTGAAGCCGTTTTGCGAGGAATACTCTTTGATCAATGTGACCGCCTTGGATGCAAAACTCGACTTCTCATCCCTTTAGCTGTAAGAAGTTTGGGGAGGCATTCAGCCCCACAGTTTGAATTTTGAAAGATGGTTGCTTTGCGAGCTGATAAATGATCAAATCATTAGTTTGGGCAGCCTCTTACATGGAGTGCAAATTTTTGAAGGAGATCTTCCCACTGGCTTTGAACGGCTGGATTTGCCCTATGCGGTTGATCACAAGTGAGTATGGCATATGCAAGACAAAGGTACTGAACTTGCTCTCTAAAAGGTTTATCATAGCATCGGACATGACATGTTTATTTGCCAGTGTTAATTCTGAAGCGTTTAATCTTATATAAACAAACAACTCCTCTGATTTTTTTTTTCTTTGGGATATTATCTAAGTGGGTTGAGAGGCTTTAATTGAATCTCTTTCTTTACTGCATTTGGTAGAGCCGATATCATCTCTGAATTCTTCTTTTACCTCATTTGATGTCTTGTACCTCATTTGATATCATTATTTTTTGTGGATAATATCTAACAGGAGATTTATTTGCATTTTTTTAAAGGAACATTTCTTGTTGTTTTTATTGCGTTCTTTTTCACAGTTAGAATTCCTCATGAGTTAGAATTACACAATCACCTCAGCATTTATTTTCCTTAGCTATAAAAAAAGTGTTTTTCATAATCTTTAGAAGATGAAAATCAGAGAAGTAAATATTTTCGATGACTCATTGTAATTATATAGACCATATCAAATTCCATTTGTAATTTGTTCTGTCAAATAATGAATACATGGATCTCTGAGAATAAAGTTCATACTTATGGATTGTATCAGGGTTCATGTGGCTATGTTAACAAGGCACCCTAAGGTCTATTCTAACAATACTTCATCGACTATATGTTAAGCTTAGTTTGTTTCAATTAATACTTTCGCTCATAGTTCTGTATTGACTTGCCCATGCTTCCTGTTATTGTTTACTGAACCACCACTGCAACTTGAGCTATCATCATTGCGTAGGCAGTCTGCCGCTGGCCTTACAAATCCATAATCAAACCCCATTGCGCAGTTGCAATAGGTCTCTGCAGTTCCGTTTTCTCTCTCTAGGTTTATGTTGTTCAAAACTATGTTGCTGCATGGCACTGTGTCACTGCATGCAAATTTCATGGCTTTAGAAGTTCTTGAAGTCCCACTGATGTTTCTATACATTACTTGGCTTATCTTTACTGCTTCTGTCTGCATGAATGAGAATAATATTTCAATAAACTATGGTGAGATCCAGAGAATAATATTTAGCATTTTATTAGTATTTGAACCTTAGATATCTTTATATCCAGAAAACATATTATAAAATATGATCATTTTATTTCCTACATGAAAAAAAGAAAATTTTACTTTTAACGATTTTGATTATATTGCAAGTATTTTCTACTCCATATTGATTTCTGATGGAATCAAATTATTTTGCCTCATAACAGCCAAAAAAAGCCAAAAGCAAAATGCTACAGATATAGCCATTTGTTAGTTCTTGATCTCATTGTTCCAAATCACTTTCCCTTTCAATGGTCTTTGAATGCATACATATATTGGTAGTAGGAATCCATTTACCTTGTTATTGCAAGCTTTTGTTGAGTCACAATAAAACTGATCAATGATGATTGGGTTTTCAACATCATCCATCTTAACATTTTCGAATCGAACAGATCTAACATAACCTGATCCCCCCTGTTCAGGCAAACAGGCAATCGATAAACATGCATGAGCTGTTAATTCAAAAGAACATGTCAAATGTATGGTAAACTGATGCTTACAATCCCATCCAAAATAACATCATTGCATAATTATAGAATGCTTACTTGCCAGGTTTTGATTCTTAGGCCATTTGTAGTTCCTGTGAGTGTTGCTGTGTCTAGGACAATGCCCGTAACTATGCCGACAGAATTATCCTTCCCAAGGCTTCCTATGCTAAAATCAATATTTAAATGAACACATCATACCAATATTGGTAAAATTATATTATGAAATATCTCTTATATATGGTTGAACGGGAACAAGTTTTAAATCGTAATGCCATGGAAGACCTTTGGTCTTCAGTTGCACTGATGAGAACTTCCACTTTAGAGCATCTCCAACCGAAAATCCCATTTTTCACTCCAAAATGCAGTGAAACTAAAAAATGTCGTGATTCATCTCCAATCGAATTCCATTTTGCGGGATTCTGCGAAGGTAACCGTCTTTCTCCTCTTTGGCGCGTTTATTCGACAAATCCGGTTGAGACAAAAAAATCGCGTTGGTGAATAGTGCAACGTCAATATTGACGTCGCACTGTTCACCCGCAAGCAAATAGCGGAAGATTTGATGTTCCACTGGAGCGACCGAACGTCGCCATATGCATGTTTAGCGTTCGGTTGAAGATGCTCTTAACATTCCCTTTCCTGCTGATCATCACTCTATCTCGCCCCAGCCATCACTACCTCATGCCCACCTCCAAACCATCAACCAATCTAGATTGTGCTAGTGTTTTGTGTGGGTGTAGTTAATGTACCTTATTCCATGTCCTGGTCCACAATCAATGTTCTTCATCTTTATGTTTGAGCTGGCATTCACGATCGAAATGCAATCATCTCCTGGTGATGAGAAAAAAGATATAATCTTTTATGCTAGTTAAATATCCTGTAATGGTGTGAACAATTTTCACTTCTAATTAAACTTGTGATAGTAAAGAAAATAGCATTGCAACATCTGTGTTACTATTTTTTGTGATTGTCTGGAGATTGAAGAAGTGTTATTGCATGCAATAAATCCATTTTTTGTGCACCTGTTCCAATGCGGCAATTCTGAATGGATATATCGGTGGACTCACTGATGTGTATGCCATCTGTGTTGGGGCTATCTGGTGGAGAATCAACTCGGACACCAGAAATCCGTATAGCTACAGATCTAGAAATGGTGAAATGCATCTGTTGTGCACTCTGTATGGTAAGGCCCTTCACCCTTACCTTTGAGCTTGAGTCGATGGTCATTGCCTGCAAGCAAAGTTAGTAAGATATATTGGGATAACATCTAAAACCTCCTTGCCATAATGAGCACCTATTGTTAGTGGGAGGGTCATGAATTAAGTGAAATCGTAAGGACAGTTCTGTCTTCCTGGGTCAACTGAACAAAATGATGATTTTGTCCATGAAAACTTTCCGGTAATGAATCTGGAAAACTTCATTTCTTAAATGAGGGAGTAAATTGAGTAAAGGCATGGAATGCTAATGGAAATGCTTAGGTCAAATAAAGGAAGTGAATTTTTTTTTATTGAATGGCCTTGGAAGCTTCCCTGTGGTGAGAAAGCTTTTGGAAATTCATCTAAAAAATGATAATTTTCTTGTTAGGTAAGAGGAATTCAGATCGAGTGAAACCAAAAAGGCCAACTAAGATGCCTATTCCAAATGAAGGATTTGCCAAATATTCAATAAATCATCTATGGTTTCTCGGGTTTTCTCCACTTCTGTGACATGGTTGGAATCACCACAGGTTAGGTACTTCAAGTTATTGTTACTGGTCATCTTCTGAAAGATATAAATTGAGCCGAGGTGAGCATGATTTAGCCGACTAAGGCCTTCTCCAGTCGAACGTCAAATATGTGTATGGCGTAGTTCAGTCGCTCCAGTCGAACGCTAAATTTTTTGCTATTTGCTTGCTGGTGAACCGTGCGATGCCATCTATGTTTTTTTTAAAATATAAATATATGATTAAGAATATATAAAATAAAGTATGGGAAATAATATACGAGGAATATTCTTTTTTTGGTGTTAGAAAATGGAGTTTAATTGGAGACTAGTTTATGCATTTTGATGTATTACTGCATTTTGGAGTGAAAATTGAGTTTTTCAGTTGGAGATGCCCTAAATGATATTGCTGTGGTTGGCCTTGTACTACTTTTGAGATAGCAGTTTTAGCAATTATTTCTTCTATCGATACTCTGCTAATGAATATTTTAAGTTTACTTTTGCCAGGATTTTTCTTATTTTGAAGAAACAGTTTTTTTTTTTTTATATAAATGGGGCTTCTTTTTTGTTACATGATTTGATGATCTTGTGTGCAGGTGTCTACAGGTGTCTGGAGTTGGGAGATGCTATACCGTTGGTGCTCCTCTGCATGGCTGTCAATGAGGTAAACAAACAAAAGAAACAAGAAAAAGAAAAAAGAAAAAAAGTGTTAATAATCTGGTCATCAATATAATCTAATCGTTGAGAACTGGGCTATCAAAATTAAAAATAATTACATTTGTCTTGTTGATTTTGCAAGAGGAAGCCCACCATTTACTGCCGGATCCGTCGATGACCCCTCCACCCTGGATCCTGGCCCCCTCCAGGTTTGAGAAAACTATCCAAAGCCTTGGATTTTTAGGATCCCAGTTTCTGGGCTCTTCCGGGGCTACAATTGTTCCAGCTATCTGAACCATTACAAAGATCATATACTAAAGTTTACAATCGCTTGTATAAAAGATGTTTTCATTCATTTGTAGTAGCTATGAGAGCCATCTTAATGGGCCAACTACTTGGAACTATGTGCTGCTATTTACTGACAAATTTAATGATCTTGTGTTGAAGAAATCAGGTTTGCTGGAAAATGGTATCTTTACAGCAAGAAGGGATAGTTATCACTCAAAAATCAATGGAGACAATATGTCTAAGCCTGCTGATGCTATATACAAGGACGGATCCAGTCTTAATTTTAGGGGGGAGGGGAAACTTATAAGTAAAAGTGTAGAGTTTTTTTTTTTATAAATATCCTTACAACCAAAATTTGTTCCGAGGGCACTACCTCTCGACCCCTATTTTTTCATTGTTGTACGCTTCGCAGATTTGTCGGGGGTCCAAGGGGGCGCTGCCCCCTTGGCGGGGGTTTCAATTTTGATTGTAAGGATATTTTTGGATTCTATTTACTATTTCTCTTTGTATTTGGTTCATTGTTCCCTTACAATAACATCTCTATACAATGTGTTTAATTATGTTGGGGCAATTGCCTAAAGACTATATTCCCCCCCCCCAGCCTTAAGGTGGTTCTGCCCATGGCTATATATGGTCAATAATTTTATGATTCCTTTGGCCAATTTCAAATTATAATTTTGAGTTTACATCCTTGTAAATAGCTGCCTCTTTAGCCCCTTAGATGACCATCAAGATTCCTCCATCTTCGCAGGAATACTGATATAAGGTGTTCCTCTTGTTCTCCAAAGAACTTTGAATCCTTTCAAAAAATCAGAACGATTCTCACAGTGAATATACTGGCTAGCTACTTTCTATGGTGTTTCATCATGGAACTCGATAGTTTGAATAATCCGATTTAGCTAAATATTTTCCATGATGATTGATCAAGCACCTTAAGACTACTTGGAACCCCTTCTCAGTTTAGTGAGGTAAGGATATGTAGAATAAGGCAGATGTGTTTGCCATTAGGAAATTTGGTATAAATAATATGATAATATTTTTAAAAAACGAGTATATGTATACCTGGATGATTAGTTTGCCTTGGCATGGCCCCCTGAATTTGGTGGCGTTAACCTTATAAATGCGCTGTTCTGGGATCAAGAATACTGCATTATTCAAAGAACATGCTTTCTCCCATGCACTCACAAAGGCCTGGATGAAGAATTCAAGTATGAAGGAAAAAGAATGCATTATTGTATTTAAATATGGCAAAACATTCTTTTGCACTGCCATTAAATGACCTTTCTAGTCTGGATTTTGAAACAGGCCAGCTGATTTATCCAAGAATATATTATGCTGCAAAAGAGAAATGTTTACCTGAGTATCATCTGCAATGCCATCTCCTACTGCTCCAAAGCTGTCGACATTCACTGGCATCTTTCCTGGTCCACTACTTTTCCATAAAGGGAATTCTGATGCTAAAAGTGGTTCAAAATCTTCATCTTCTTCCCTTCCCCAGGGCTGGATGCTATTGCTAAAGCTCAGGTCAGCGTCAAAATCTATACCATGAACTCTCACATAAGCAAGCATGGCGATCAGCACAAACAGTAAAGTGAGCAACCGTGAATCTACTCCCATCTTTCAGAATGTTTTATGTCCTTAATAAGCAAGATTGTTGCAATAAAACATGTGAACCTCTGAGTTATATCTATTTAAAGATAATGTTTGCAAGGGAGGATCGTGTTTGTAAGCCAGCCACCATCTACAGTATTTAGTAAGTTGTATGGCAGCAGTAATGGCTTGGCTTGAAAGGTGGATTATGGAGGTGGAGGTTGTGATGGTGGCCATTGCCTATTTTTGTTCCTTACTGCGACAATTTATCCCAAGTAAACTTGAAGTCCAAGGTACTGAATGATGCGCTTAGCCTTAGCTTTGCTTGCTTGTTTGCTTGTCTGCCTTCTTTGCTTATTTTGAAATGTAAAGATCAACATCATTCTGCCACCATCTGGTTTTTGCTTTACTTCTCTCCAATACTGTAGTTGCAGAATCTGAGTATGTCGACTCCATTAATGGCGGAAGAATGGGAATACCGATCAATGTTGTTTTGGATTCATAGCTACCTGGCATAGCTACTGCTACTCTTGGTTCCATGCGAAGGTCTGCACCGATGATATCATGGATTCATGGGTGTTAAAAGTACCGAAGGGTCGAGCTAGCAAAATTTTTGTAGCTCAACCCAGCCGATGATAGAGTTGACCTATTTTTGCAATTTAATATACTATAAGATCGAGTTGATTCTTGATTTGTACATGTGTTGAAGTACACAATCGAGTTAATTAAATATTTAGATTTCGTTTTGGGATAATTTTTTAATATGTTTTAATAGTATAATTTTTTCTTAAAAACAACAAAAAATAGTAGTTGAAAGTTATCCCAAATAAAATCTTAGTCTCAATACTAACGTAGGGGTGTCAATATTTGACATAGCACGAAAACCTGACTCGAACTTGACCTGGAAATTTTGGGTTTAACCCGACCCGATTTCAAAACGTGTCAGGTTCGGGTTGACTTGATGGGTTGTCGGGTCAACCCACAAACCAGTTTAAAATGAGCTGCCCGCGAACCTGCCCCGGCAACCCGACGGATCGGGTCCAGGTCCACATTTTTTACTCGTTACATACGCGGGTCGGGTTAGGGTTGACCCGTTTGAACCCGGGTCAGTTTCGGGTTCGACTCGAAACCCAATTGTTACACCCCTGCACCATAGGTGGTGGATCAAAGGAGTTTGGGGTAGTGTGTTTTGTAAACAAGAATGAACGGTTGCCAAATTCAAACCGTTTAGGATCATTAATCAACTAAATGGATGATCACCCACTCGAATAAAATTAATATTTCAGTTCAATCAGATTCAAATTGGGCTGATATGATTCTTTTTGTTCAACACTCAAACGAGGTAAGGTGTGAACACTCATTCCTTGAAAGAGATGAGCAAATGGTCGAGCTAAATTGATTTTAGAGTAACTCGTTTTGATTAATTAAAAAAACGAGTTACTACTATGTGAGAAAGGGATTCCTAGTGAATGAACTCATTCGACTAATATAACTTATCAAAGAAGTCAAAATAATCTTCCTAAAAAGATATTGAAAAGGGGGAGTTTACATGATAAAACAAATGAACTCATTCAAAGAGTCCAATTATATAAATTCTCAACTAAGAGGTTCCCTTGGTATGAATCTACTAGAGAAAGTCCAATTATCTAAGACTCTTTTAAGATAAAACAAACCAAACTGCTTAACTTAAACCAACATATGTGACTTATTTTATTAATACGCTCCACTTATGGGTGGTTCTTTATTTGTCATCGTTTTCGATCCAACTAGTCCTACCCATCTTCTAAGATTTCCATCAAAGCATAGAATACATCTAGCTAGCCTAGACATTGCCTTAGCTCACTCTAAGTATGTACCAAATAAGAAGCATCCAAATCAAAACTAAATGTAGTTGCTTTATCAACATTGATGTAAAATATATCATTATGGTTTGATTAGATCAGCATTATCTATATATGATTCAATCAATACTAAATACACAAATTATTAGAATCTAGTTTTTCTTAAGCTAAGTCTAAATGACTTAGCCATTAACTAGTACATAGTATAATTAAATCAAATATGAAAGACTTCCTAATAACCCAATGGATTGATGAAGCTCAACCTAAGCTATCTAGAGACTTTTGAAGTCATTGTGTCTCATTAACTTACAAACAAACCTATTAGGTTAACCCTAAGGAAAGAGCAACATACTCAATCAATCATCAATGTTAGGGTAATTCGAGACTAATCTAAACTACCCAATGATTATAGACCCTTGAAAGTGTTTTGATTAAGCATAATATGCTCAACTGAGCTTGATTGATCCATTTTTAGTCAAAACTAAACAACGTTCTTATGTTTGACCTAAATTTAACCTAAGTCAATTAAACTAGGTTAAGTTAATTTAGGCTAAATTAACCAAACATGGCAATTGAAAATCCTTCAAACAAGTTTACTAAAGCTAACTAAACCCAATTAACATGGTGGATTGGCCTAAACTAACCTAGATACGTGGGCTTGACCTAGAGTCAACATAGGTGAAATGAATTGATTTCAATTGCATTTGGTCAAGTTAATTATTCCTTAAGCCTAATATGTTATGACCATAGACCTAAATTGGACCTAACTAACTAATGAAATCCTTAGTTCAATTTGAGTCAACCTAGTTGAACCCATATGTACCTATTTGAATCAAAATCAAATGATTTCTTTCAATCCAATTAAATTTATTGCAATCAAAGTGATCTAATATGTTCCATGGATTGAGACTAGCCTTATTCCATGAATCCAAAATAAAACCAAGAAAAAGATGAATCTTATTTCTAAAAATTTAAAATAAGGATTTAAAATTAAATCATACATCTAAGTTGCATGATAGCTTATTAAATTGCCTTCATACTTGGTAAACATGTTCCTTTTATCCCTTTCATGCACAATAATAATAGGAGGGTTTGAGTATAGCTATTTTCCATGCAAAATAACATGCCAAAATGTGGAATAATCACTTCAGTAGCTCTAAAGCAAAACATTTAATTCGAACATATAATGTCACAGAGGAGTCAATTTGGCTTTTAAGTGAATCAAATTCATTTAAAATGCTAATCCATGCTATAGCCACAACATTATAAATCAAACATTCCAAATCTGTTATGGTGACTTTATCTTATGCTTTAGATCAACCAAATTGTTCTAGAACCAATCCAAATTTGAGAGAGCTTAACTCACTTACCCATATTATATTATTTTTCAAGTAAGCCAAATTTATTAAAATAACATTTTAAATGTCTAGAAAATCTTAATTTTTTAGGGTTTGTATCTTATCTAAGTGAGCTTGATCATTTATGCCAACATATTATATCCATTTTATCTAAGTTATGCTTAGACATTTATATCAATTGGTATTTAAGCATATCATGCTTACTCAAGTATCTCATTCATATCATGAACATATAGTCTTAGGCTAGGTGTGTTAGCATATATTAAATGTTGGGGTCATTAGACTTTGGATTGACTCCTAATTATGATGTATTGTATATCATTATAAATGATTATTTATTTTATAATGGCAATTAATTTATCATAATTATATCTCATGCTATTATTTTAAATATCCAAATATTCTACATAAATTATCCTTAAGTATTTGAATCATATGTAAGGTCATCTTCTTTCAAAATAGTAGTTCTTTTAAATAGATGTATGTGTGCATGTATGTATGTATGAATATCTCTTCAAAATCTTAAAATTCATACTTTCAAAATTACAAAATTATTTTCAATACTTAAAAATTAGGATGAAAAATATAACTTTAATTAAACCTTTAAAATAAAACTAATCAACGTGGTCTTCTCATTTTCAAATGAGATGACCTTGGTTTATAGAAACCTATGCATATCCTAAGCATTATGCTAAGCACATTTACATATGTTGTTAGTTTAGGATATGGTGCAATTGGAATACAATGACTACATCTATAGTGGTAAGTCTATCTATAATGACCTGAATAGAGTCCGGTAAAAATTTTCAAGCTCAATAAATACATGTGAATTTTTATGAAAGTTGAGTTATTTCTATCTAAATCGTTCATAAGAGAGCTGTGGTTTGAATTGGGGAAAAGAAAAATAATAAGTAGAAAGTTCTCCTTTTTTAAGTGTTGCATTGCTATAATGGTGGGGCTGCCCTCTTTGTAAGTTGTTAAGTGCGTGGGAGCCTTGCAGCCCTTAAAGAATGGCATTGCGATGATGAGGTCTGTTTGGTGGGAAATTTTATTGGGGCTAATGCGGCACTAGGTAAGTGACATTTCAACATTAGGTTCCCTATTTTCATATCTGAAATCACTGCATAGGAGTGTCAGGGTACTGAGTAGTGCGATGTTATGGTGTTAGGTCAAAATTTTGTAAAAATATTTAAATCTAGTAAGAAAAGCAAATTAAAAAATTTAAATAGCCTAATTTGCCTCATTTGTTTGGGAGAAGGAATAAAGAAGGATTGGAATAGGAGAAGAGAATAAAGAAGAGAAGATAAGCTGGTTCTGGGGTTTTCAGGTTCATTTCGTCTGCCATGTTAGTTTAAATAATTGTTTTTCTTAAGATATGCTATCATTACCCTACCTTTATTTTCAATGATTTTGATTTGTGTAGGACTTTTAAAGTTTACTTTGATCTAAATTTGCAAAAGATATGATATCTTGATTTCTAGAAAATGATATGAATGCAAGTCAACTCAAGATAAATATATTTGAAGCACATACTATACATTAGTACAAGGTTCCATCCTCTAGTTCAACACCAAAGCCACTAGACAAACATTTGATTCAAAGCTAATATTCAATCCCAATGTTCGAAATTGAAATTTGAACTTACAATATAAGGTTAAAACAAACTGTGGACTAAGTATTGAGTCTCTGCGTTTGAAGATAATTGTTTATTTGAATTAGGTTTTTAAAAAATAGTTTAGATTTGAACACCATATTATGGATTTAAACTTGGCCTAAACCTAATTTGAACTTGTCTTTGAACCTTAAATTAACGGGTAGAAGCATTTTTGAACTACTTTGAATTTCTATTTCAAACATGAGATTTTAACCTATTGTTCTATCTCTTGTTTGAACCTAGAATTTGAACCCATCTTTCCTTTCCGTTGCAGATAAGGGACAACAACATGATAAAGTTGGCATTGGAATTGTTGTTAAATGCAATGTAATCTAAATCTAATAATATTTAAACTCACTTTACCTGTCTACATTGGAAGGGACAACATCAGAGTGACCAGAGGGTTATTGAATGCATTGAGCTAAAATGTGTTTAAATGAGAGGCACAATTGTTTCATGATTTTCTTGACATCTAAGATTTCATAAATTTTGTTAAAGATATTATTTCATATAAATTATCTATCTCATGAGATCCATCGTGAGTTCCTATGTCATCTAAGGTTTCATAAATTTTATTAATGATATACTGCTTTATATAAAATATAACTTTAAATGTTAAATATATAAATTTTATAATTTTAAATGTCTTATTTATTAATATTTTTATTCTAGTATATTTATTTTTTAATATTTAAATTAATTAAAATAAATTCATATCCACAAATTTTAAATTTAAAAAATCTTTACTGATAATCAAAACTATCGAACAAGAGACCACGAGTGCGGCTTCAGTATATATGTAAATATGTAAGCGTGTGTAGTCTTTGGGTTCTCAATGAGGTGGCGGACAGTCTCGGTTCTTGCGAACTAGTCGTCGCTGTTCGCGTACTTTTAACCTTTCCTATCTCGCTCTAAACTGCAGCAACAAATTTTCTCCTCGATCTCACTCCCAGACTCTGCTCATTTCCCCCTTCTCTACCACGTAGCCATCTTACACTTCGTCCTCTCTCGTAGTCGAAGCCGTGCTAGGGTTTTATCTGCTTTTCTGCGGCATTTTATCGTTCTCAACTTCACCGTTCTCCGCCGGCCGGCGAGCCATGTCGGCATCTGCGACGGCGGATTCTTCCTCCTCGTCAACAAAAGGCCGTATCCGCTACGCGCCGGCGGATCCCACGCTCCCGAAACCTTGGCGAGGCCTCGTCGATTCCAGCAGTGGTTACCTTTACTTTTGGAACCCGGAAACTAATGTGACGCAATACGAGAAACCTCTTCCCTCTTCTCCTCCTCCTCCTATGCCGCAGCGTGAGGATTCTCCTTCTACTGCCACCAAGGACTCTGAAATCTACGATGGTGATCGGCTCCAGGAGGTATTTTTTTGCGCTTTTTTTTGTTGTTTCCAAATATCAAGATATGTTATAATGCCCATTGGCTGTGTTATAGAGCAATGCAGCGAGCCTGGACTGCTACCAGAATCAAGAGCCCGGGCCAGAAAAAGTTGACGATGAGCCACCGTACATGCAGATATCACAAGCTAACCAAGATGCGGGAGTTGGTTTATCTGCGGAGGCCTATCGACGACGTCATGAAATTACTGTCATTGTATGCCAAAGTGAAATGCACCCCTTCTCTTTTATTCCGCGATTATTTGTTTGTTTTTGTGTCGTTTCCGATGCATCTTAGAATTTTTTTGCCCGCATGGTAAGCTTGTTGCATGTTTGGAAATTACTTCGTGTGCTTGATAGCTTGTGCTTTATTCTTATGTTTGGTTGTATGTGTTCTGATTCACTTGCTTGGTCATGGAGTTAATAGTTTTTGAGTACTTTCCAATCATTTTTGTATGGCTTAAACCTTAATAGATTTCCTAGATGTTTCCTTTTGTTGTTAGCATTGGGTTGATATTCTGCAAAATTGTGTTCAGCGACTTCTTTGAGAATTTTTACATGAAAGAAAGAAATTATTGAAAAAAAGTTTCTCAAGATACACGGAATTTTAGAGGATGGTTACAAAACGGTGACATTTGTGACACACTAAGACTTCGTTTGAGACGTCTTTTTACTACTTCTTAAAGCAGTTTTCTAGTACAAAAATTTAAATTTTTGTACTAAAATGATGCTTTAAGAAGCAAGGGCGGAACCCCTTTGGGGCTAGGAGGGGCAATTGCCCCCCCCCCCCCCCCCCCCAAAATTTTTTTCCCCCCCCCCCCCCCTTCAAAAATTTTTTTTTTCATTTATACTCTTATTTAGTGATTTTTAGTTTTTTATTACAAGGGTTTTTAGGCAATTGCCCCCTCTAAAAATATTAAAATACTATGGTCTTTAGGCATTTGCCCCCAATATAATTAAATGCATTGTGTAGATGTGTTATTGTTAGGGAATGATGAATCAAATACAAAGAGAAATATTAAATCAAAATTTGTTACTATTAGGGAACCCCGCCAAATACAAAGAGAAAGGTCGAACCCCGCCAGGGGGCGCTGCCCCCTTGGACCCCCGACATATATGCGAACAATTACTTATAAGTTTGCCCCTCCTGAAAATTATGGTTGGTGCCGCCCCTGTTAAGAAGCATTAAGAAAGCCATCCCAAACGAAGCCTAATTATTCTGTTTATAAATCGGCGACCTTTAGCATGTGAAAATGTAGCAAGCTCAGTAGTGGATGACTTATGTGAGTTGTTCATGAATTTTCCACTCTATCATTGCACCATTTCCATTTTATTATATTTAGGGATTGAGCAATTTATTTAGTCTTGTACCCAAAACATCGTCATCATTAGCCTGATCTTAGTTATTTTTGGTCACTTTCATGAACCCTTTATTCATTTGTCTTAACTCTATTTTGTACTAGTCTAATCAATGTATTTTGTATTTAACAACTTGACACATGTTATTTTTGTCATGATTCAAATTCTATCTAAAACTTAGTTGTAAAAGGGCATAATTCAGTTTGGCATAATGGCATGTCCATGTTTTCAATTAGCAAGAGCTAATAAATGACATTGAAACTGCATGGCATGGACATTTCGTGTCCTCATTGTAAACCTTGGCCATTAAAGGGAAAGATGGTATTCTTCATGTTTCAGAGGACCTTTCTGAAATAAAAAATGTTTCTATGAAAGGATTTTGTTGAAATTATTATTATTTTACTATTTGCACTATTTTTACCAACAAGATCCCGCATCGACGTCCGCTCTGCATGAGCTCACGCCTCGAGTTTTACAATGGCCGCCGCACCCTTCTACTCATTTCCTTGATGGCCAGGTGCTAGTTGCGTGCTTAAGTGCCATTCATTTTCGGGGCTAGTTGATTTAGATACAATAGAAAAAAAAAATGATTCATGTAGCTGATCCCATGTAGTGGGATAAATGCTTGATCTTGTTGTTATTGTTATAGTTGTTGTATTGTTTTTGACCTATAAATGTGATTAACATATATATTCTTTCTTAAATGTAGCTTTAGTAGGATGAGAACTTGTTAATTTATTACCCTAAAATGAATCTTTTGTTACTTCTTATAATGCGATAACTTTGCTTTCTCTCATAGGTTGATATTATAATTTTCTTATATTATTTCACAATGCATAATGTGAACTATGTTGGGAGCTACGACGTTTCATTACTAATTTACTATAATAATCACTGGTGCAATTTTTTTCTTCTTGAGATGCATCAAAATATAATGATATAATAAAATATAATCTTACATTTCTAGTGCTCTACCTGATTTACCATAGAAATTGAATAATATAAATGACACATGTCATGACCCGGCTCAGAGGCTCAAATTAACGAGGCCAGAACAGAAGGTCAGTTGGTTACATTTTAGTATACTAATTAACTATTTCTAATACACTGAAAGAGTCATTAAAACCTCAAAAATTTGATGTAAAAAATTATAAATAATCATTTTTCTTGGAGCATCGTGCCTAAGATGTACGTTTTCTTGTCTGCTACTCATTTAAATTATTAGATAATACCTATGAATGTTTTGCAATCACAAAGTGAGTCACAACTTAGTGAGTATATAATGTTTCTAATTTTCAGTTACAAAGCATTGAGAATAATATACATTTTCATTTCAAAACATAAATTAATAAAATTCATTTTGAATATAACCATCAATGTTATGCATATTTGTACGTATCACATATGTCATATCTTTATCATTTCTATAAATAATATAAGCATCACAAGAGATATCGTCTAAAATAGTCCTAATGAAGATACTCTCTTTTTCATTTCCTTTTCATAACTTTTTATATTTACGCATGCGGGTATAATGCGTTTTCAACTAGTATCATAAGGTGGTGTGCTACATTAATCAATATACACATGCAATCATATATATCTACCTTTTCATTCATATGACATTCAATAACTTTATATAATAGTGTGAAATATAATATGCTAGGTATCATCTAACCCAAAATGACCAGCCAGTGGATGTGAGAATGATAAATTATGACCTAACTTGTAATAAAGACTAAATAAGCATGTGTCATTATCCTTTGATGTATTTAATTTTAAAAGAAAAAAAATATCATTACCTCGTAATTGGATGCCTTGGCAATCCACTTTAATTACCACTTCGTCGTTGCCCGCTTAACACCTATATGATTATCTTATCGTTAAAATTTAGATGATAAATCGCTCTTAACTCGATACCTATATATTTTTAGAATATGTTTATTAATAAAATTTCTAATTAAAATTTCATAAATAAATTAAGCTCTCTCTCTCTCTCTATATATATATATATACACATTCCATTAATAATTTTACTTAAAATTTAATTAATTAATTATGATTTTCTAAAGAAATTTTTTTTATCAAGATATTTTAAATTTAATATAAAAAAATATAAATTTTCAACCTTCAACGTTTAACACATTAATTATTTAATTAAAATATTAAATCTATTCTTTTTTCTAAATACATTCATATTTATATTAACACTTATCATTTTAATCAATTTCTAAATTTATCTTCTCTTTTAGGCAATTTAAGCTATATTTTATAATCTAGATTATTTAGACATTTTTAATAAATAGAAAAACTTACCTTTGACTTAATCGTCTCGAATGTATAACCTCACCTTCGATCTTACGAGACCCGTCAATCTCTCCCTCTTTTGCTCTCGCTTGATCTTTTTGTCTCTCTCGCTATCTCTTTCTCTCTGTTTCTCCCGGTCTCACCCCTTCTCCCTCTCCTCTCTAATTTATAAAGGAATGAAGGCAACCAACACAGTCCATTCGCCGAGTCCAAGCAACAGTTTTGATTCGATCGCAACTCTTCGTTTCATCTCCCTCACAATTCTAGGGAATGAAACCGATGGTCACACCCAAATGGCAGAGCTAGCTCCCTCGTCTTCCTCGATAAAATCTGAATGGATGGAAACGACTCCTCCTTCGACTCCAATTGATAAAGCCTATCGCGACTGAAAGACCGAATGACATCGGTGCTCCTTCGTCTTCATCAAATTGATCGACACTTCATCTCCTTCGTTACTTGACATTTGAGTCGACGATCTCCTCTTTCGCTCCGTCTTCCTGTGCGAGAATGAAACCCAAGCGACAAACCATCCTCTTCGTCCTCATGTGATGGGACCCCGGTTTGGGATATTATAGCACATGCCACCATATGCAGAAGAATTTTTTTGTAAAATTGACTATCTTTTACTCCAGCATTTTTAGTTAAGATTTCTGGTTCATTATATTTTATGTGAATGCATCATATTGAGTTTTATTAATTTTCAAGGTGCCAGTTGATGGTTTCAGTCATGTGCATTGTATGCTCTTTTTCATGAGGTTTACCTCCATAGTTTAGTGTTCTCTTGTTCACTTCTATCAAACGGTTTTTTATGTCTTTTCCTCGCTTTGTTTATTTATTGGTCAGAAAGTACTTTAATGTTTATATTTCCTTAAGTGTTAGTAATGCTATCCTCCTCTCCAAACATTTTTCAGGGAGCAAATGTTCCAATTCCATACATCACATTTGAGTCGACAGGTTTTCCATCAGAGATTCTAAGAGAGGTATTTCTAGATATATATGAATTTTCATTCCTTAAATTTTTTATGTATTTTAATAGTTATGATGAACCTACATAAATATGGGGGCACAAACAGGAGGCAAAATGCATATGGGATGTGTCAGTTCTTGAAAAATATTGAACATGGGCGTGGTTACACACACGAGACACAAATATTGAACAAGTACAGGGGCATAACATGGCTAGAAAATATCACACGCAATATGCTCGGGACATGATTTTTTTATATGTTATTAATATAAATAGTGTTTTCAAATCACCTTAGTCAATATTTCTATCAGAAGACATCACACAATGAATTATAATTTTTGTTCCAAAAAAGCATAAGATTTGAAAAAAATAAAAACTAATATTGATTTAATTATACTTGCATCTCAATATATCATTAGGTTGGCTTAATTTTCAACAAGTATCTACATTAGCATTAATTATTAGGCATGATTTTTTCAATATCAATATTATACTTTCTACACAATATGCAAAAATGCTAAAATGAATTTATAATCTTCAAAATAACTATATAAGATATGAACGCATTGATGCATGATGGATCGGACCCAACACACTCAGCATTGAGATACACATCAACCGTCTAACCCAAGTTGAACATTTATTCAACTAAAAGTAGCTTGCTTTTATCCCATTCATTGTGACATGTTTCAGCCATGTCCCATTTTAATTTTGGAAAAAAAAACATATAAGATAGGATTTTCAATGCATCGGGGCATGTGAGTGGTGTGCTCATGTCCCACTAAAGACCATGCTTACATGGGATGCTTTTGAGTTGCTCTTGTTTCTTGTGTCATAACACATAATAAATGAGAACTAGCCTTTAGATGCTACGTGAGCAAGGGTTTTGGCCAACCTGGATTGTGAAACATTTCTCATTATAGATATGTATCATCAAAATTAACAGTTAAAATAATAATTGCAATAGATTCTACATATGAAAAACAGCAGCAAAGTCTGGGTTCATATAAAGTATCATAACCAATCCTCTTGTTATAAAATTTTTAAAAATTAAGCATCTAGATACCTGGATAACACACCAGAAAATTAATAAAAAAAAGGGAGCTAAATAGTAAACTTGGTTACAATGACCTTGGCTTTCCTAATAGAAGGAAAATATCCAAATTCATTATTAAAGAAGTACAAAAAATTCTAAAATGGCTAATATGTCTGCATGTTGTTATATTCGTTTTTAATCTTGACACATTTTGTGATGTAGAATGGGAAATCGGGAGAAAGGCTTTGCTAGGGAAGATGGACAAACTCCAAGTGTCTCCTCACAAAATTTGAAAAGTCCCTTCAGGAAATCTGAAATTTTTCAGATTTTTCTATGAGAGAAAGAGGAGTGAAGGAAATTGGGAGGGGAATTCCAGCAATTCTCCAGCCGTCCAACGTGGTGTGAACGTGAAGAGAGGGGCTTGGAGAGAGAGAGAAGACGGGTGGGAGAGGGGGCTGACGCGATTGAGAAGGGGAGGGAATTTTATTACGAAAATCTGATTTCTGGTTTTAGGAAATAAGATTAAAGCTTTGGAGTGAAGGAAAATTCGGCCAAGGTGGGAGTTACAATAATTGAAATTGTTTCCAAACAAGGATTAAACGTTCTGGACTAGAGAGCTTTTCTAGTGTAATTAGGAGAGAGGAGGGGCGGCAGGACCACAGGGAATTTAGTGGATTTTAATTCCTGAAATTAATCTCCTTAGATTAGGAAATTAATTAGTAGAGCAAGGCAAGGGAAATTTCGGTTATGGAGGATTGGAGGGATTTTGAATTATTTCCTAGATCTAGACTTGGTTTAGGAAATAATTAGAAATAGGATTTAATGAGGGTAAAGGGGGAGGGCCGGCGGCATGCAGGGGAGAGGGAGAGATTTAATGAGGTTAATTAAGACTTCTTAATTTGGTTTAAAAGATTAGGAAAGAAAATAATTCACTCCAATTTAAATTTCAAATTCAAATGGATGTAAATTAAAAACTTTCCTAAAATAAAATCACTAATTTAGGAAATAATTTGAAATTTGAATTTGAATAATTTCAAATTCAAATCATTCCCTAAATTAACCAACCAAATTAGGAAATTCCAAAGAGGGTGGGAGGAGGAGTTCGACCGGATTCCAATTGAGCACTTTCCAAAAATAGGTGAGCTAAATTAGGAGAGAAATTTGAATTTCAAATTTTTAAACAATTTGAATTTCAAATTTTTAAACAATTTGAATTTCAAATTAAGCCCTAATATCATGCACCCCAAATTAGGAAACTCAATAAGGAGGAGGTAAAGGTGAGGCCGGCGGATACTGAGGTGGAGCCGGCGGCATGGGTTTGGGTATGGGGGATTAGCCGTGAGGTGGAGAGGGGAGGAGGAAGAAGATGACTAATAGGAGCAATAAGAAGGAACAAAATAAAAATAAAAGATCGAAACAAACGATAGAAGATAAAAACCGCGAGCCTATGACTCTTCCAAAGACTGACGGGTGATGCTTTGACCTTCTCCAAGGGACTTCAAGTCATAAGTCCGGACCCATCCTGCGGCTGGTGAAAACTCCGATTCCTTCCCATAGGAATCTCACTAACGTTCTCTCAAAAGAACACAAGTGTTGAACACAAAATTTTTAATATCAATAATCCATCCCTATTACAATAGCTTAAGGCCATATATATAGGCCACAACATAAGAAAACTCAAAATACAAAATTGCCCCTTGGGCTACAACACTCACATAAACCAACCTAGGGGTAAAACAGGAAATACATCAAATAAAAACTAAAATTCAGAAAAATAAATCATAATTGAAGATTTAAATTATAGCCGTCGATTTACGACGACTCTTGTGATAGATGCGCCAAATCTTCGTACCGATGTCCGCATCATTTTGACTATTTATGGCATGGGTTAATGGCATGTCAGACAGGATGTCCTTGTCCGACTTATGTTAGAGACTACATGCCTTTTATTTTTGAGGTTTATGTGCATCCTTGTTTGAAAGCTCTCTGCCTTACAAACTTACTGGTGTTATAATTCTCTCATCAACAGAATTCTCAAATTTTAAATTCTGTTACATTTTCATTTATTTATGCATATATTATTTAGTTCATGTTGCTGTTGTGATGATTGCACAAATGGGTTAACATTTCATGCCACCTTGTATATGTGTTATGTTTCTGACCGCTGCACCTTCAGTAAAATGCAGTATATGTTTGACCAATTAGCTCCTTTGTACATAAATGTATTGGTTGCTTTCTTTAATGAAATTTGATGATTCAGTCTTGTGCATTTCATATTTGACTTCTTTGTGATAATGCTTTCATTGCTAAGGGCTCTTGGCTCTTGGATATTGTTTTAACTGTGCATTGTAGATAGTCTGACCAAAAAGGGAGCCCCTTCAACCTGATTATGTATCTTTAAACAAAAATATTCATGCGGGGATACTTTCTCTAGCTGAGTCAATTGATGTGCATACCAGCATAAATGGGTGAAATTCATTGTGGTCTTTATTTTTTCAAGAAGTTGTCATTTTCTATTTAGGGAGGGTATGGTTCCCCCTTTAATGGGGGAAATACATTTTCGCCTTATTTTTCTATTCTGCTTTTCTAAAACTAGATGTGGCACGAGCTTTATTTGTACTATAAACATGAGATGTAAAGCATAGTATTGCACTCGTAAATCTTCCAAACACTTATAGAGCCTTTTCATCTCTGTGAGAGTTGTATTGAATTTATTTCTTATCAAGCAGCATAACAAAACATAACATTGCAAAGTGAAGCCCGAGCCAGTATGCATGCATAAGGCTAAAATTGTGTGACTAGATCGTTATTTTAAAAAAAAAAACTGTCATTTGCCATTGCCTTATTTATTTTCTGTAACATGTAAAATTTATTACCTATTACTAGATCATTAGCAAACTGATGTAAATCAAACTGCAAAGCTTCAATTAGATTCTTTCATTTTTGATATTTGCTCATTGAAACTTGTAGCGTTCCGCTCTCCCCACCCTCTTCCTTACAATGGGGCAAGCTATTGCATGAGCATATTAGGACCCGTAGGATATTTGATTGGTTTTGGATCATGAGATATATTATATAACAAATGTTGTAGGATTTGAACTAAATCTTTTTTTTTTTGTGTTGTAAACCTTCATCTGAGACCATCTTCTTTTTATATTAGTGTTATTGTTTTCCTTATTTCCCCTGGCTTCTCCTCTTGCATATCCATAACCTCTCTCCTAAATTTGGAATGACCACTTGTGATTTCTTACCAAAGAGTCTGCCTAGCAAACTTATCCTTGCATAATTAGCTCTACATTCAGGGAGGTATGGTGCAAATTTTCAGTTACTCAATTGTGAGATGTAATGTCATGAATCACCAAAACCATCTCTCAGGCAAATAGGTGTGAGGTTGTATGATGAGGACATCAGTCATAGATTTCGACATGTGTATCGTCGACATAGTCATGGATCGACGACTACGATGCAGAGTCTATATTTTTGATGTATTTTCTGTTTTATGTTTTATGTTGCATTTGAGTTTTCCCATTTTACCCTTATGAGGAGTTGAGTCTATGTTGTAACCCGAGGGCACTTTATTCTTTTCGGTTTCTTTCATTTGGGCCTATTTATAGGAGGCCTCTTGCATTGTAATGGATGATGATTATTGAGTAAAATTCAACTTTTTCTTTGTCTCAAGTTGTGAGCTCTTGAGTGGAGAGAACCCAAGGAGAGGGGATATGCAATACCTGACAACCGCCGGTGGATTCTGAGTTCTCGGTTAATCTTTTGATTTATCTACTTCCTACTCCTCTTTCTCCTCCCTACCTCCAATCTTCTTCTTAGTTTTTCCCATACCCGAACCCCTCCCAAAGCCCATCCCTCTGCCCTCCAATAGCTCCCCTAGTAGGGGTGTCAATTTCGGGTCACGGTTAGGGTTCGGGTTGAACCCGGAACTGATCCGGGTTCAAACAGGTTGACCCTAACCTGACACGGAT